CCAAGAACAGACTTTACCAGCCGAGTCTGAGGTCAAGGGTACGGGAGAACGAGAGAGACAGGAGAAATAAGAAATGTCAATTCTGTGCAATGTCATGCAAATAAAGAGCATCTTATTAATCTCATGCATTGTACACACTATCGTTCAAACGTTTGTGGTCAGTAAGATGATTTTTTTAATGCTTTATTAATGATTTAAATGAATGCTTTCATTCAGCAAGGATGCATTAAACTGATCAAATGTCTCTAACTGCGGTTAATCATTTCTGTTGCCACTCACTGGGTGCTGGTACTGCTGCAATAACAGTTTATGAGTGAGAACAAACTGAGCTTTCTTATTGGTCACCACCAGGTTTCCCATCAGCCTGGACGCAGCAGTTGCCCTGAAACACACATTTGAGTTAGAGTCGACTAAGAAACAAACAACTACTACATTCTTCTCTCTGGAATCAAGCACACTCTCTTACCCGCTGAGGCAGCGTATGAGTCCTGTGATGACACACTCTGTGCACCTCTCCGGAACGTTCTCCAGAAGTCTCTGCGTCACACGCTGCCACAGCGGGTCCACGCGGGTCAGAGACGAGAGCCGGGGGGCCAGTATTTCAAATATCTGAGCTACAAAAACATGCACACACAAACTAATGCAGGTTGACATAGAATTCAGAGGAAATATGAAAATAATTACATTTGTTTAACAACCTACACAAGTTAAACAAAGAAACTTACAGCTGTATCCTTGAATACACACTTTTCCCAACACCTGAGCAACAAATCCAAGAGAGCAGTTCCGTTCCGCTATACCAGAGAGATACACATGAGTGAGGCCAAATAAATGGATGGACAACAAATATGCATTCATATATATAGTGGTTGCAATGATGCATTAAAATATGCAGTGGTTGCAATGACGCATTCAAATATGCAGTGGTCGTAATGACGAATTAAAATATGAAGTGGTTGCAATGATGCATTAAAATATGCAGTGGTTGCAATGACGCATTAAAATATGCAGTGGTTGCAATGACGCATTAAAATATGCAGTGGTCGTAATGACGAATTAAAATATGAAGTGGTTGCAATGACGCATTAAAATATGCAGTGGTTGCAGTGACGCATTAAAATATGCAGTGGTTGCAATGACGCATTAAAATATGCAGTGGTTGCAGTGACGCATTAAAATATGCAGTGGTTGCAATGACGCATTAAAATATGCAGTGGTTGCAATGACGCATTAAAATATGCAGTGGTCGTAATGACGAATTAAAATATGCAGTGGTCGTAATGACGAATTAAAATATGAAGTGGTTGCAATGACGCATTAAAATATGCAGTGGTTGCAGTGACGCATTAAAATATGCAGTGGTTGCAGTGACGCATTAAAATATGAAGTGGTTGCAATGATGCATTAAAATATGCAGTGGTTGCAGTGACGCATTAAAATATGCAGTGGTTGCAATGATGCATTAAAATATGCAGTGGTTGCAGTGACGCATTAAAATATGCAGTGGTTTCAATGATGCATTAAAATATGCAGTGGTTGCAATGACGCATTAAAATATGCAGTGGTTGCAGTGACGCATTAAAATATGCAGTGGTTGCAATGATGCATTAAAATATGCAGTGGTTGCAGTGACGCATTAAAATATGCAGTGGTTGCAATGATGCATTAAAATATGCAGTGGTTGCAATGACGCATTAAAATATGCAGTGGTTGCAGTGACGCATTAAAATATGCAGTGGTTGCAATGATGCATTAAAATATGCAGTGGTCGCAATGACGCATTAAAATATGATGCATTCAAATATGAAGTGGTCCCAATGATACATTAAAATATGCAGTGGTTTCAATGATGCATTAAAATATGAAGCAGTTGCAATGATGCATTAAAATATACATTGGTTGCAATGATACATTAAAATATGCAGTGGTTTCAATGATGCATTAAAATATGAAGCAGTTGCAATGATGCATTAAAATATACATTGGTTGCAATGACGCATTAAAATATGCAGTGGTTGCAATGACGCATTAAAATATGCAGTGGTCGTAATGACGAATTAAAATATGAAGTGGTTGCAATGACGCATTAAAATATGCAGTGGTTGCAGTGACGCATTAAAATATGCAGTGGTTGCAATGACGCATTAAAATATGCAGTGGTTGCAATGACGCATTAAAATATGCAGTGGTCGTAATGACGAATTAAAATATGCAGTGGTCGTAATGACGAATTAAAATATGAAGTGGTTGCAATGACGCATTAAATATGCAGTGGTTGCAGTGACGCATTAAAATATGCAGTGGTTGCAATGACGCATTAAAATATGCAGTGGTTGCAATGACGCATTAAAATATGCAGTGGTCGTAATGACGAATTAAAATATGCAGTGGTCGTAATGACGAATTAAAATATGAAGTGGTTGCAATGACGCATTAAAATATGCAGTGGTTGCAGTGACGCATTAAAATATGAAGTGGTTGCAATGATGCATTAAAATATGCAGTGGTTGCAGTGACGCATTAAAATATGCAGTGGTTGCAATGATGCATTAAAATATGCAGTGGTTGCAATGACGCATTAAAATATGCAGTGGTTGCAGTGACGCATTAAAATATGCAGTGGTTGCAATGATGCATTAAAATATGCAGTGGTCGCAATGACGCATTAAAATATGATGCATTCAAATATGAAGTGGTCCCAATGATACATTAAAATATGCAGTGGTTTCAATGATGCATTAAAATATGAAGCAGTTGCAATGATGCATTAAAATATACATTGGTTGCAATGATACATTAAAATATGCAGTGGTTTCAATGATGCATTAAAATATGAAGTGCTTCCATTGATGCATTAAAATATGCAGTGGTTGCATGCATTAAAATATGTGTGTTCCTTCTTTTATTTAGAATTTTTTTCAGGCCAGAACATGTTATACCTCTGAGAGCGCGGCATGTCTTCTCCAGTGTGTCCAGTATGCTGGCGGCCAGCAGTGGGTAGTACTGCTGTGGCAGGAAGGCGTCAGGTGTGTTTGTTTGCAGATGGTTGGAGGTGATGGAGGGTAAAGCTGCAAGGTGGCCAATGATGATCTCTCTCAGCTGAGGAGTGTCTGCATGGGAACCACCTCCCTCACATCTGAACCACAGCAACACCTGGAGACGACCAGCAGAGAGGAACTTCTCCAGTACAGACACACATCGCTCCAGACCCGCACTCTCACTGTGTGTACGAAACAGAACACATCATGAGTATATCATTTAAAGGGGTGCTGTTATGCCCTTTTCACAAGATGTAAGGGGTGAGCAGAGAGGGTGAGCAAAAATGCATTGTTGTTGCGTCTCTTTAAAAGCAAATGAGGATAATAATAAAAGATATCTCAGACAGACAGACAGATGGATAGATGGATAGATGGATAGATAGATAGATAGATAGATAGATAGATAGATAGATAGATAGATAGATAGATAGATAGATAGATAGATAGATAGATATGGATGTCTCTCACACACACCCTGTGGAGCTGATGGTATCCAGCAGAATCAGGAGTGCTTGGTCCGGTGGACCCCTGAGGAAGATCTCATCCCAGAGCTTCTTGATCTTCTCATCATCATCACGTGATCTGTTGAACCAGTCCAAGCTCTGCGCGCTTACCAGCACCTGAAGCGTACGAGTGTAATGTAGGCGCGTGAACTCGTCGTCCTCAAGGTAGTGCGTGAGTGTCCGCAGCGCGTGCACGATCTCCCCGGAGTCTCGTGAGCTGGAGAGAGTCCTCAAACACGAGCACGCCTGCATTCGCACCTCGGACCCCATAACGTCACGGAACCGAGGTTCAGTTTAATGCAACATCACTTTGACGACATAATATGTACAAAATGTCACTGTGTGCATTTGTCAGATGGACTCATATCCTGTTCATTCTAACCTCTATGTCAAATTATCATTTAAATTAACAAATAAAATGAAACCATTGATTTACATTAACTTAAGAATCAGAGCTGAAGAACTACAAACCTCACATAGAATAACCAAATTCACCCTTTATGAATAGCAAAATGTAATATAAATTATATAGTTACAGCGCCTCCTGGTTTCAGTTTGTTGACGGTTAAAAACCATTCAGATATAGCAAAATATGAAATAACTCCATTTAACTCGCAGCATCGGTCGTGTTGACAAGTGACAAACCCATGTGATTGCGCTCTAATACGTGTCCGTGCAGATGCAGATAGCCAGAACAAAGGTTCCTATCGGAAACCATTTATTCCATTATAGTTCACTAGATGGTGCAACAGGGCATGTTAACCTTCTTAAAACCTTCTTAAAACGACTATAAATATTTTTAACATAAATGTTGCGTGCCAATTCATTGTTCACAAAAACAAAACAAAACAAAATCGTTGATGTTATATTATATTGTTTAACTTATGTTTAACTTATTTGCAGGAAAGCACGTCCTTCAACTGCTGTTTGTTTTAAATGTGCTAAATAAATAAAATAGTAATTGTAGCTATTATATTTGCAAATTTTATTAACAATAAGTTAATCAATCCCTATTAAAACATATTAGATCTCCCAAAAACTGAATAGCACTTTTGAATAATCCCTTTTTCATTTCTACTAAATAAGAGGAATCATAAAAACTGCATGTTTTTTTTTTATTTAGTACTGTGATAGTTTAAAAGATGTCTTGTGGTCTAAATGTGAACATCTTTTATGTAAAATATCTTATTCAGGACAGTAATACTTAAAAATGACACGTAGCCTGTTTTTATGACCCCTCTACATTGTTAAAATAATTAACATTTGATAGATTCTGCAAGGTGTAAGGAAACTTTTGATGGCCATCGGCATTCATATATGATATAATATGAATAAAACAGAATTTTATGGGATTTTTACGAAAGTAAGCAACTTTTTATAAATATACAAAAATACATGCGCATAGTATAGGCTCACACAACTGAAGCATTTAAAAATGACCAAAACAGGCACAAAGAAATGATTTGCACTTAATTTATTGGTGACTAATTTTCTCACTTTTCTTTTAACCTTCATATACAATAATTTGAAAGACCCCGTACAGTAAAAGATACATCTTAGAGGGGCATCTTCAAAAGAAAGCAAAACATTCAAAAGAAGACAATACTGATATCTCTCATTTATACAGTAACCTCAACAATTACAGTAAACATTTTTACAATTGTATCCTTCATTATAAGAGTCCTCCAGTCATATTTTTCTTTTGTATTAACAACTATTTATAATTATTATTAGTCTTTTAAAGTCTAAGTGGCAAGCAGAACTCCTAAGGTGTGAAATGTTGTCTTTGGACATATCTTAAATCATATACAACAGCTGTTTAACATCAGCTCTGCCGAAACAGCAAAAGCACACGCACCCAAAGTTCACAGAAGCGAGGTTCCCGCGCTTTAATGTCCAGATACAGTAGCTCGAGCTTCGAAAACAGCAGGAGAGGCAGAATCGTCCTCAAATGTTCTCCAGCGTCGTCGTGTGTGAAGAACTCATCGGACGAGTTTCCGCAAACAAAAGCGAAATATGTCAGTCGTCGGAGATAGAAGAAAAACAGAATAAACTGCAGCGTGCTTTTCCACAATCCAAAAAGAGGAAAGGAGGGCGATTAAGTCTCCGAAAAGGTTTGAAGTGGAAATCAAACATGCTCGTCCCAGAGAGGAAAGCGCCGGAACAGACGAAAAGAAGCAATCAAGTGGAAGACAAAATGAAACGGAATCTCATTTCCTGCTTGCCATAAAAATAGGATTCCAAGAACGAAAGATACAAACGTTCTAGATTGATATTTACATCCAAAATCATCAGATATAGTGTTTTAAGATGCAGAAATGAAGCAAACGTTTTTCCCGCGTTAAAGGTTTTCGTATCCGTCAACGGCTCGATTTCCCTCAAGTGCTTCAGTGTTCGCTTCTTTTTTTCCCGCCAACACTGATAAAACAGCGTCACAAGGGTTTTCTTAAATAGCAAACAATACTTCTCTTAATAATAAAATAAATCAGAGTGCAATGAACATTTCCAGTGTGTTTTGAAAGAGTCTTTTCAACAAAAAATCAAAGTTTTTTTGGAAATAATCCAGGAAAGGAGGCGGCAAACGAATATCCTCAGCGAGAAATCGCGCAGGACCAATTACCATACCCACAATGCAACACTGCAAACTCCCTTGGTGGGGATCGGTCTCGCTTGATCCTTTGCGTTCCGCATCATAATCGTAATAAATAAGAATTTGAAGGGGAAAAAAAACATTAGTTAACTAACATTCAGCAAAAACTCGTTCACGAGTTAAATTGTTCGCACACACTCAACCCTCAGGTCAGCAAATGTCCCTCACATAGGCTAACGGTGTGAGTGCTCTGGTTTCTTACACTGAAATTCATTTTATGAATCATAAACATACATATACAGAGAGAGGGAACGGGCGCCTCATTCCCAAAACTCTGGGAAGTCACAGGAACCAGAAGACAGGGCCAATCTCACACACTCACACACACACAGTGTTATGGATTATTAAATCATTTGATCAACATAGTGATTGTATTCTCCACTTCCGCTCCAGACTCATTCAGTACGCCTGTGTCAGTTCATAAATCAGGAAAGGTTGTCGTCATGGCGATTATTTGACCTCCAGGATGGAAGGATTGGACTCCATGATGGCGACGATGATGCGGTCGATGTAGTCCTGCAGACGGAAGTTGATCTCCTCCTGCTTGTGGATGGCCTCCATCAGCTGCACACACACACACATTAAATATCACACAGGGTTCACATTTAAAGCAGAGATGAGCATGATGGTGTGTGATACCGACCTCAGAGCGGGAGACGTTGTTGATCTCGGCGGCGAGCGACTCGGAGAGAGACTCGGTAAAAAGGCTCTTTGCTCCCTGGATGCTCAGATTAATGATCTGTCCGTTCAGCTCGTCGTTCTGCTCCTTCAGACTGCGGTTATCCTGCACACACACACAACCAAACCCGTGTTTGAAACCAGTCTTGGTTCAGTCTTTTCCTTTTTTAGACTGTTGAATAATTTGAGTTTGTCTACCAGTTTGAGTCTGTGTTTACCAGTCTTGGATCTAGTCTGTTGACTACTGGGAGTGTGTGTTTAAGTTAATCTGTTTGAGTTTGTCTTTACTTGTATGAGTCTATTGGGTCTGTGTTTTCAGCCTGAGTCAAGTGTTGACCCGTTTGAGTTTGTTTTTACCTGTATGTGTCTGTATTTCAGTCTGTTTTTACCCAAGTCTTGAGTCTGTTTACCGTTTTTTTAAGTCTGCGGTGACCAGTTTGAGCCAGACTTAAAGTCAGTTTTCACCTGTTAGTATCTACCTGGTTCTTTTGTTGTTGTTTTTTTTTACCAATTTGAATCTGTGTTTGAGTCTGTCTTTATCTTTTTGAGTTTTGACCTGTTTATGTGTGTGTGTTTTACTGGTTTAAGCCTGTTCTAGCCAGGTTGAGTCTGTTTTTACTAGTTTGAACCTTTTTGAGTCTGTCTTTACCAGTTTGAATCTTTCTTTCATAACCTGTTTGAGCCTGTATTTACTGTTTTTAAAAGTGTTTCTCCTAGTTTGAATCAGTTTCTCATTACCTGCTTAAGTCTGTATTTACCAGTTTGAGAGTGTTTTTACCTGTTTGAGTCTGTATTTACCAGTTTGAGAGTTTTTACCCGTTTAAGTCTGTATTTACCAGTTTGAGAGTTTTTTTTACTTGTTTAAGTCTGTATTTACCAGTTTGAGAGTGGTTTTACCCATTTAAGTCTGTATTTACCAGTTTGAGAGTGGTTTTACCCGTTTAAGTCTGTATTTACCAGTTTGAGAGTGTTTTTACCTGTTTAAGTCTGTATTTACCAGTTTGAGAGTTTTTTTTACTTGTTTAAGTCTGTATTTACCAGTTTGAGAGTGTTTTTTACCCGTTTAAGTCTGTATTTATTTACCCATTTAAGTCTATTTACCAGTGATAGTTTTTACCTGTTTAAGTCTGTATTTACCAGTTTGAGTCTGCATTTAACAGTTTGAGAGTTTTTACCTGTTTAAGTCTGTATTTACCAGTTTGAGTCTGCATTTAACAGTTTGAGAGTTTTTACCTGTTTAAGTCTGTATTTACCAGTTTGAGCGTTTTTTTTTACCTGTTTAAGTCTGTATTTACCAGTTTAAGAGTGGTTTTACCCGTTTAAGTCTGTATTTACCCATTTAAGTCTATTTACCAGTGAGAGTTTTTACCTGTTTAAGTCTGTATTTACCAGTTTGAGTCTGCATTTACCAGTTTGAGTTTTTACCTGTTTAAGTCTATTTACCTGTTTCAGAGTTTTCACCCGTTTAAGTCTGTATTTACCAGTTTGAGTGTTTTTACCAGTTTGAGTGTTTTTACCTGTTTAAGTCTGTATTTACCAGTTTGAGAGTGTTTTTACCTGTTTGAGAGTGTTTTTACCAGTTTGAGAATGTTTTTACCTGTTTAAGTCTGTATTTACCAGTTTGAGAGTGTTTTTACCAGTTTAAGTCTGTATTTACCAGTTTGAGAGTGTTTTTACCTGTTTAAGTCTGTATTTACCAGTTTGAGAGTGTTTTTTACCCGTTTAAGTCTGTATTTACCAGTTTGAGAGTGTTTTTTACCCGTTTAAGTCTGTATTTATTTACCCATTTAAGTCTATTTACCAGTGATAGTTTTTACCTGTTTAAGTCTGTATTTACCAGTTTGAGTCTGCATTTAACAGTTTGAGAGTTTTTACCTGTTTAAGTCTGTATTTACCAGTTTGAGTCTGCATTTAACAGTTTGAGAGTTTTTACCTGTTTAAGTCTGTATTTACCAGTTTGAGCGTTTTTTTTACCTGTTTAAGTCTGTATTTACCAGTTTAAGAGTGGTTTTACCCGTTTAAGTCTGTATTTACCCATTTAAGTCTATTTACCAGTGAGAGTTTTTACCTGTTTAAGTCTGTATTTACCAGTTTGAGTCTGCATTTACCAGTTTGAGTTTTTACCTGTTTAAGTCTATTTACCTGTTTCAGAGTTTTCACCCGTTTAAGTCTGTATTTACCAGTTTGAGTGTTTTTACCAGTTTGAGTGTTTTTACCTGTTTAAGTCTGTATTTACCAGTTTGAGAGTGTTTTTACCTGTTTGAGAGTGTTTTTACCAGTTTGAGAATGTTTTTACCTGTTTAAGTCTGTATTTACCAGTTTGAGAGTGTTTTTACCAGTTTGAGAATGTTTTTACCTGTTTAAGTCTGTATTTACCAGTTTGAGGGTGTTTTTACCAGTTTGAGAGTGTTTTTACATGTTTAAGTCTGTATTTACCAGTTTGAGGGTGATTTTACCAGTTTGAGAGAGTTTTTACCTGTTTGAGTCTGTTTTTACCCATTTGAGTGTGCTTTTACTCATTTGAATCGTTTTTTCATTACCTGTTCAAGTCTTAATTTACCAGTTTGATAGTGTGTTTACCCGTTTGAGTGTGTTTTTACCTGTTTGAGTCTGCGTATCTCCTGCTCCAGTTCGTTCTCTTTCATGTGAGTGTTGTATTCCTGTAGGCCGGAGCTGGCTGATCTGCCTCTTCTCGCTTCAGTCTCCAACTTAAACAGCTGCAGGAGTTCCAGCTGCTTTCTCAAGTCCTCGATCAACTACACACGCAGAGAAGTCATTAACAGAGACCAACACACACACGACTCCACCTATGAAGACAAACAGAAGACCTCTCACCCCCTGAGTGCACTCCTTCTCTTTCTGGTTCGTATGACGTTCATGGCTCATTTTGTCTGACATTTTCCTGCGAGATTCGATTTCTTCATTCAATCGATCTGTGACGTCTTCCACCTCATCCTGAAGTTTCCTCTTTTCCTGAATTAAAAAAAAATTAAAAGCTTTTCGATGATTCCTTGCATCAAATTGATTCAAAAATGATGTAAAACACAAATTTGATTGGTTTCATGGCCAATAACTATTGTTAATTCACTTGTCTTTGAGGAAGTGATAAAAAGTGTGTGTTAGACTGTGTGTGTGTGTCGGGTACCTCCTCCAGTCTCTCGATGTTGGCTCTCAGACAGGGAACACATGACCTCAGCTCACTGTTCTCTTCATCCAACTGATGCAACCTGAACACACACAGACAAAAATGCACCGTGATGTTTTCTTTTTGGGCAGAGAGCACAATGAAAACAATAATGGGTGTGAGAAAACAAAAGTCTCTGGTAACACCGCCGGATTGTATTAAACGCTGAGCCAAGTAATCTCAGAGCTCTTCTGCTGTTCTCCACTAGATGGCAGACAGATCTTACCCACACACATCAGAATGGCTTCATATTTCTCTGCTGAAACTGAATAAAAGCTACCTGACAAACACTGTTGTGTCGTGCAAATGAACAGAAAGAAGTTTTCTGTTTTCAGTTAAAACGGTGTCGTGTAAGCTAATGAAAATAATGATCTTTGCAACGGAAATTAATCAATCAAAAACAAACTTTAGCTGGACAATAACTTTATTGTAGAGCTACTGTAAAGCCAAAGCAATCTCCATTACTTTAATTTCCTATGTTCACTGTAAAGCTGCTTTGAAATCTATGTTGTTAAAAGCGCTGTGACTTGACTCAGGAGTTCACGTAATCTGCGATCAAGTAGGTTCATGTCATTAACTACCACCAATGTCCGCACTTCTTTTGGCCGTCTTTCTTTTCAGTTTTCTTCTGCAAATGACTGGAATGAACTCCAAAAATCCTTAAAGAGCATATTGCAGGTAAAAAAAAATCTAAATTAACAGATAACCTTATGTAAGGGTATGAAATTACCATATGAAAAGTTAATGCAGGATATAAAACAGCATAAGGGCACTAATTTAGTAGATAAAGTGAGCGTTTCTTGGGCTGCTCGTAAAAACTGCTTTATTTTTTTTGTGATCAATATTTTTTTATTTTAAGTTAACATAGCAGATACAAATCAAGGCTCACTGAACTATATACAAACAGATGCCATGAAAACTCTCCACATATAAGAAAAAAATATATATATTTAAATATAAAATATATATATATATAAAAAAATATATATATAATAACAATAATAATATATACATAAGAAATTACAGAGAGAGGGAGATGTAGGATGTAAAATCTTAGTTCTTCTAACAGAATGTTTGCAATTTGTCCAGCTAAAACTGCTTTTTTTTTTCAACATCGCGTCATTTTACGTCATATCAGGGAGCCTCAGCCTCGGCTCGTGCAGAGTAGGCTGGTATTCAGTGAGAGCGGCCGCCAGTCAGTGTGATTTCAGTAGTTTTTGTATTTTAATTTATAATCGTCATGGTAAATTATTGTGTTTGTGGAGGTTGCAAAAGCTCCGGCCTGTCAGGACTTCAAGATCGAGTCCACAAGTTTCCATTTGCACTTTGTCTGAAAAACTGTTGTAACCAGTATTACACTGTCCTGTCCTTTATGTGTAACTTTATGTGTCTCGCTGCTTTTAATGATAATAAGCGTGTGCCTACCTGGTTAAATAAAGGTTAAATAAAAATTAGGGCTGTGCAAAAGTTAATTGCGATTAATCGCATCCAAAATAAAAGTCTGTGTTTACATAATATATTTGTGTGTGCTGTATATAATTATTTTGTATATATAAATACACACACATGCATGTATATATTTAAGAAAATGTGTTATTCATATATAAAATATTTATATTTATATAATATAGATTATGCATTTATATATATATATATACAGAATTTAAGCGCAAATAATTCTTAAATATATACATGCATGCATAGGTATTTATATATACATAATAATTATATACAGCACACACAAATATATTATGTAAACACAGACTTTTATTTTGGATGCGATTAATCGCAATTAATTTTTGCACAGCCCTAATCAAAATTAAAAATTTGCTCACCCTCATACTCTTCCAACCTGTTTTTCCCCCTTCTTCTTAAAAATCTATTAATCATAAATGATCCATTCGGTCCGCACGCACCTGGCCTGGAGGTTCTCGATCTCCACGTCTCGGTCTCGCTGGAGTTTGTTCAGTGCATCTCTGTGTTTACGGGTGTACGTGAGTAAAGTCTCCTCTGCACGCATCTCCTGCTCCTTCAGCTGTTCCTCCAGAGCGTTCGCACGGTGGACGAGAGTGAGATTCTCCTGCCGCAAGCGTGCATGCTGCTCTTCACTCTCCGACGAGTCCTTCTCCAGCTCACACACACGCTTCTCCAACAGCAGCACCTGCAGGACAAACAGTGTTTGTTCCTCATGCTGTTGTTCACGCATTTACAAAACTATCTGTTTTACTATTCCATCTATGGAATCATGTTAAAGGAGTAGTTCACTTTAAAAAAAACTTTTGCTGATAATTTACTCACCCCCATGTCATCCAAGACGTCCATGTCTTTCTTTCTTCAGTCGAAAAGAAATTAAGGTTTTTGATGAAAACATTCCAGAATTTTTTCATATAATGGACTTCAATGGGAACCAAACGGTTCAAGGTCCAAATGAGAGTTTCAGTGCAGCTTCAAAGGGCTTTAAACGACACCAGACGATGAATAAGGGTCTTATCAAGGACCCTTCGAGTCATAACTCGAAAAAAGATTAGTTCATTTTGATGAACGAGTTTGAACAGGAGAGTCACGAACGCTCATCACAGAACAGAGCATTTGTGCTTATAAAACTTAAACTTTTTTATTTATTTTTTAAATGAGCGATCGTTTCACTTGATAAGACCCTTATTCATCGTCTGGAATCGTTTAAAGCCCTTTGAAGCTGCACTGAAACTGTCTTTTGAACCTTGAGCCGTTTGGTTCCCATTGAAGTCCATTATATGGAGAAAAAATCCTGGAATGTTTTCATCAAAAACCTTAATTTCTGTTCGACCGAAGAAAGAATGACATGTACATCTTGGATGACATGGGGGTGAGTAAATTATCAGCAAAAGTTTTTTTTTAAAAGTGAACTACTCCTTTAACTTTGCAAATTTTTTCATGGTAATATATTAGCATGTATCAAAGTGCTTCTATTATGCTTTTTCAGATATTACCTTTCATGTAGTGTGTAATATAGCTGCTTGTGTTTGTAAAATGTGACTTATTGTCTCCCAAAAGGAAGAACCGATACTGAACAGACTGAAACCACTTCCTGCATGAACCTACATAGGTTTGTAACAAATTTGCGTAATGGTTTTCATTGGCTGTAGACGAATCACAACAGAATTGGCCATCTGACCAATCAGAGCAGAGTAAGTTCTCGGTTTATAGAGACTGAATCCGTTATCAACCCGTTTCAGACACTGTGAGAGAAGAGCTGATGCTGCAATGTATATTATGAGAAAATTAAAGTGTTTTTGACCTTGGATGCATGTCAAACTATTGTAGGAGGCTACAAAACAAAACTAGGAACCTTTAAAATGGAATATAGGGACACTTTTACATTTTTGTTTACTTTTTCTATGCAAGGTTAGCATTTGATGACTAAACTAATGTACAGCGCAAACTAAAGCCACAAAACCAGAAGAAGCACCATCTGAACCAGGGTCCACAGTGTAACACAAATTGAATGCAAGTTTGATGCAAAACATTCATATTAGTTTCCGAACCTTGTCTGTGATGTCACGATCCGCAAGGTCCAAAATGTCTGGAGTCAGATCTCCCATGACATCCAGATTGCTGGACTGCTGCAAGTGTCTGAAAAACACAAAAACTGTTTAACATTTGTGCAACACGCTAAATGTCCAGCCTGGTTTTTTTTCTAGTTGGTGAATCAGCAAACTTAGACATAGTCGACTAGCATGATGCTGATTGACCAATACTGTTTTGTTGGTTAATCCACAAGTTGAATGCTGGGAAAACCAGCATCCAAAATGACTGATCAGAGAGTTTTCAATTTCATTTTGTCCTTAAAACTGATGTCTGGTGCATTTAGAGGGAGGATCTCACCTTGCTGCTTTCTTACTGGACATCCTTTTACTGGAACTATAAAAGAGAGAACAAACAGGAAATGAGTCAGGAAGAGAGCGGGAAAGAGGAAAAAACTCTCTTTCCATTGATGACCTGTGAACCACAGGTCAAAAACACAGAGAGAAGTGCTGAAGTTTGGGCCGTCAGCTCTTTCTGGAGGTTGAAGGCTGAATCAATGCTCTTCTTTCAGTGGTACACGGAAATAAACACACTGTTTTAATGGAGGTGTAACATGGATGCGTGAAAGGAGATTCTGTTCCTGTTGCGCAAGAGAAACTGCTTTGAACAGAGTTGTTCCATATTGGACAATCCACGGTTTTCCATGAACAAAACACCGTATTCATACGTTAACATAAACTGGACTCTCGTTAAAGTGGGTGAAGTTATGTTTCCTAATTTAGGAAAAGGCTTATTTCCTTTGGTTTTGGAAAAAAACAGACCCATGCAAGACAAGTCAACATTCAATATTTAATCAGACACGTCTCTAAGAGTTCTTACAATACAGCCATCAACGCTCTTTGACTTGCATTTGTATTATCTAGACTACAGTATACACTACCGGTCAAAAGTTTTAGAACGGTAAGATTTTTTCTATTTTTAAAAGAAGTCTCTTCTGCTCACCAAGGATGCAATTATTTGATAAAAAATACAACAACAAAAAAAAACAGTAATATTGTGAAATATTATTACAATTTAAAACAGCGGTTTTCTATGTGAATATATAGTGAAGTGTAATTTATTCCTATGACGAAAGCTGAATTTACAGCATCATTACTGTTGCTGATTACACATCAGTTTTCAGTGTCACATGATCCTTCAGAAATGGTTCTAATATGCTGATTTTATGCTCAAAAAAACAAATTATTATTTTCAATGTTGAAAACAGTCGTGTACCATTTTCCCCCCAACATTCTATGATGAATAGAAAGTTCAAAAGAACAGCATTTATTTAAAATATAATCTTTTCTAACATTATAAATGTCTTTACTGTAACTTTTGATCAATTTAGCTCATCCTTGATGAATAAAAGTATTTTCTCATTTCTTTCCCCCAAAAATAAAAAATAAATTCTTACTGACCCCAAACTTTTGAATGGTAGTGATTAATGTTACAAAAGCTTTTCCATTTCAGATCAATTCTGTTCTTTTGAACTTTCTATTCATCAGAGAAAACAGTAAAAAACTGTTTTCAACATGGATAATAATCATAAATGTTTATGTTTCTTGAGCATCATATCATAATAATTTCTGTAGGATCATGTGACACTGAAGAGTGGAGTAATGATGCTGTAAATTCAGCTTTGATCACAGGAATAATATACACTTCACAATATATTCACATAGAAAACCGCTGTTTTAAATTGTAATAATATTTCACAATATTACTGTTTTTTTTGTTTGTTGGTTTTTTATCAAATAATTGCAGCATTGGTGAGCAGAAGAGACTTCTTTTAAAAACATAAAAAATCTTACCATTTTGACCGGTAGTGTATATTTACCTCACAGTTAGACTATTGTGCATGCATCAAATACACACACCACAGCAAAACATGTATGTTCACCACAGAATGTATAAACACTGAGCTTTGAAATCAAAACCAACAAGAGTAAAGCGACACTGTACAGATGTCTGCGTTTTAATGAAGCACACACATGCAGAAAGTGAGTGTGTGTGTGTGCAGTGGTCAATTTCAACACACGCACGGGAGGCATGCACACGCTGTGAGCGCGTTACCTATTCATCTCAAGCAACTGCAGTCGCGTGGACAGATCCTCCAGACGACTGATCTGCTTATGACAGTGAGTGCAGAAAAACTCCAGCGACTCCGACTGAAGGAAACTCTGGAAACTAGCAGGAAAAGAGCTGGGGCTGAGGAGACCAGAGGACAGGAGGAGAAACAACGGGAAAAAATGAGCAGAAGAGATGCAAAATAAAGTGGAGTGGGGGAGAAATGGGTAGAGCAGAGGAGAAATGAAGTCACATGATGACATGAACAGAGGAAAGGTGAAATGATGAGAAATAAACAGGACAGGAGGAAAAGAGGAGATGTGTGGGGAAAAAAGAGCGGGAAAGAGAAAAAATATTGACAGGAGAAACGAGTAGAGGAGAGGAGAAGATGTGTTGGGATAAATAAGTAGAGGAATTTAGACGAGAAGATATGATGGGAGAAATGAGCAGTGTGTGTGTGTGTGTTAAAAACGAGGAAGGGAGAAAACGGGAACATTCAGTTGAGCCGGTGAAGTGCAGGAGCGGTGTGTGTTATCTCAACAGGTTTGAAAGTGTGTCGTGTTTCCATGCTCTTTTCTCTAGTGTATGAGTGTGTGTGTGCTTGACCTCATACGCCTGACAACACTAGCACTGCAGTAAAACAATAACCTCAGTAACTCGACCTTTACCCCGTGATAATAATAGCTCACTAGGGAAAAAATGAATCAGTCAGCACAAAATCATGCCATTTACTGCATACCTCATAGCATCTCAAGACACACACACACACACTTTATGTCGTCTGTGGTCAGGATGTCGCTCTACAAGGTCTCATTATGCACACGACTTTCGGCTTACACAATGTGCCGCTGACTCACCGAGTGGAAACTAGAAATAGAGTGTATTTCTATTTGTGTCTGAAGGCGCTCATTCAGTAAAGCCCAGATAAACACTAGAGTACCTGTGTTTGTACTCGACAAGTTTACCTCAGGATACGTCCGTCTGTGTGTAGAAACTCTACAATTCTTAAAGGAGAACTCCGGCGAACAATGAACCTTTGGTCTAATAAAACATCGGTACCTAGTCAATCGTTCTCTGAGTTTTGTTTTCTTGATAATCGAATGTAAAGAGTTTTATCTCTAAAAACAGTTTAGCGTATAATGCTAGTAATGGGGGCATTGACTAAGTAAAAAGAAATCGCTAGTTTATACCACTAACAAGGCTCAAAATAGCCCCACACTAACACAGAAACATAATGAGGGTCCATCCATACATGCAAAACGAAGCATTGAGAACTGTGTAAGTGTACAGACCGAAGATACTTTATGAAGACAGTTCACTTCACAGGAGCCATCTTAAAAAATAGTCTCGATAAGTCGATCCCCGAACGCCGTTCATACAGTTCAGAAGTTCGCTGAACTTCATACAGTTCAGATCACTCAGCACGACGTTCGTGGTTTGACTTATCGAGACTATTTTTTAAGATGGCTCCTGTCTGTATACGCGAAGTGGACTGTCTTCATAAAGTATCTTCTTATTAAACGGTCTGTACACTTACAAAGTTCTCAATGCTTCGTTTTGCATGTATGGACCCTCATTATGTTACTGTGTTAGTGTGGGGCTATTTTGAGCCTTTTTGGTGGTATAAACTAGCGATTTCTTTTTACTTAGTCAATGCCCCCATTACTAGCATTATACGCTAAACAGTTTTTAGAGATAAAACTCTTTACATTCGATTATCATGAAAACAAATCTCAGAGAACGGTTGACTATGTACCGATGTTTTATTAGACCAAAGGATCATTGTTCGCCGGAGTTCTCCTTTAAGTATGTGAAACTTATGCTTTAAATAATCTAGAATGTTTGTTTGTTTGTGTTACCTGGGTGACAGGAGCATTAGTGGGTGGGGCAGTGGGCTTTCTGAGTGTGGGAGGGGCTCTTCATCTCCCTCCCCATCTGGCCCCACCCTTCCCTCTTCCTGATTGGCCAGCAGCAGGTCTGAGGCGTTGTTGCTCTCACCGAAATCCTCAAAGTGCTCCTCCTCTCCTCCAATCACAGCCACCACGGTGTGACCATTCAAGTCAGAGCCCAGTGTGAACCTATCACAGAAGCACATGGAAAATAAAGTTATATGTGCATATTTAATTAAACACTGTGAAAAACACCAGGCTAATATTTTAGTTTTAATAAGGATGTTTAATGTTTAATTCTGCCTGGACATGTGAATAAAACATTAATTTAGCATAAATAAACATATAGATATAAACTACCGATCAAAAGTTTGGGGTCGTTAAGAATTTTTAATTGTTTCAATGGACAAGGCTGAATTCATTTGATCAGAAATACAGTGAAATATTATTACAATTTATAAAAACAGGTTTTGATTTTAATATATTTTAAAATGTAATTTATTTCTGTGATCAAAGCTGAATTTCAGGTTTTATGCTGCTCAATTTTTTTGTGCTTTGGTACTCATCAGTATGATCTTAATTTTAAGTAATACTTGACATACTTTCTTCATAAAACATTCTTCACATCATATTTATAATGTCTTTAATATCTTTTGACTGTTTGTTCAATGTCTTCTTGTTTGTTCAGACAGCTTCTTCTTAGTGTTTTTGTGTGCGAGACGGAATTTGAACAGTTTGTCTTTAGGATGATAATCTGATAATTCACTTTAATCTCTTGGCAACTGTAAAAACGTCTGAAGAATTACAGTTAGATTAAATGAAAGAACATAATAAAACATTAAACAATTCACACAAAAACAGCACAGGTTTCTTGAGAGACAGCCCAGTGCATGCGTTTGATTGGTGAACTCAGTGACCGCACTGTCTAGGCTCAAAAAGATTAAAAAAAAGAAAAAAAGAAATGAACACTTTTATTAATAAGGAGGCATTAACTTGATTAAAAGAGACAGTAAAGACATTTATAATGTCACAAAATATTTCTATTTCAAATAAACACTGTACTTTTAAACTTTGCATTCATCAAAGAATCCTGAAAAAACAAAATTTTCAACATTGATAATAATAATAAATGTTTCTTGAGCAGCAAATCATCATTTTCAAATGATTTCTGAATGATCATGTGACACTGAAGACTGGAGTAATGATGCTAAAAATTCAGCTTTGATCACAGGAATAAATTATATTTGAAAAAACTAAATAGTTATTTAAATACACAGCCTTTCTGAATAAAAAAATCTTTCTGACCCCAAACTTTAGACAATTTTAAGAAATGAGATAAATGAAGGATATACACACACTCTCACACAATAAAAAAGGTCAAATTAACAAGAAAATTATAATGTTTTCTACATTAGCTTTATGTCCTACAATGAATCCCTGAAAGGCTTACCCTCGCTTCACTGAAACATTGCGGTTGGTCACACAAAGCACGCGTGAAGACGGCGACCGCATCTTAAAGCGATTCGGTCTTTCTTTGGCGACTCTGAGCAACTGGGCACACAGCGTGTCAGAGCAAACTAAACTCCCACAATCGATATTAAACTGTAGTTTCGCCTGTAGAGATCATTCCTGCCAGACGTTTGTGACCCGGTGAATCAGAATTAACAGCCAAAATCTGTTGTGTAAGCAAAACTACATATACTTAAATCATACGGCCGTGTGGCGGTGTGTGTGTGCGTCTAATCAGATTTAGAGCTCAGTAACGGTGACCCAGTGTGTGTGCTAGCATGCTCTATAAGAACAAGCATCTGTTTAATCAGTTTAATCTCCATATGCAAGAACTGACGTCGCCAAACACATTAAACACGGAAACACGTCACTCAGGACTTATTAATAACGCAACAAAACAAAACTTGGTTAACCAAGGCTAATCTTAATGATCTGAATAAACCCCAAATGCAAAGTTTTGACATCTGAGACAACATTTGCAAATTAGATGATGCATTTTTCCACTGTACGTGAGTTTCGGAAGAGTCAGCGCTGGCGAGACGGCGTGACCCTGACACGACAGGAACGCTAAATCAAGAGAAACACACGAGGGCTGAGAGCCAGGCTATTTTACAATGACAGAAGCAAGAGAGAGAGCGAGAGAGAAACAGACCCTAGAGAGTGAAAGATGGATCAACTTTGACCAGCAGGAAGGCAGAAAGAGCAAACTCCACACTTCCTCCAACTGGGAAACAGGAAAATAAAGACTGACACCGATAACACGGGAAACAGGAACACCTCGGTCAGCTGACCTGAAGTTAACGGGTCTCGGGGGAAACAAACTCTAGTCAGCAGATTCTTGCATAAACACAAATAAACGGGCCAACTTTGGGAGTTTGGCTGGAGTGAGAGTGTAAAATGTCAGTGTGCGGTAACCCTAACCCTGATTTTAAAAATGTCAGTGCTTGTTTACTTAGTATAAACCCTGATTTATGCAGATAATAATAATTTAATGATTGCACTATAAAAAAGAAGATAGAACATTTAAAATAGCAAAATCTAAACAATAAGAATAGTTACTCCACCTTCCCAGAACACCACAACACACAAGTTTCACAAATTAGGCCTGTTATATACGCCACAGTTTGGCCTGATCACTGCCTCTGCAAGACCTCTGTTCATGCGTCGGTCACGTGACAAATGAACGAAAGACTCGGAAGGGAAAGTGATTATGTTCCCTGTAAATTATTTTTGACTCTCAAACTGAATTAAGAAATCATAATAATGCAAAGACTACATAGGTGGATGTGTTTGGGGAATTTGTAACATTTAAAGCCCTTTAAATGACTGAAATGACTTGAAAAAAGATTGAACAAGCGAGTTAGTAAAATGATCCGAACTTCCCATCACAGTGTGCCATCAAGTGACAGTCTGTCTTGTTTAGGCCAATAACTGAAGAGGTTCGCTCAGTGTCCGCTTTTGAGTGTGGCAGGCTCAACACAATCTGGACAACCGTTGATAATTTGGGGGATTTGAAAATGCCGCTCGCCAAACATAATTTTGCTTATTTTTATTGAGCAATAGAGTGCCGAAGTGATGACGTCACTTTGTAGGACGACTCGGAAGCTAGCGGCGCATGGGTTCCCTCGGTCGAAAAGCAATGCGTTTTCCCCACAGACTTTTGGAAAATCGCAAAAAATAAGATCTGTGTTTAACAAAGGCTTGTGACCCTTACACGTTTTCTCTAGCAAGATAATCTTTACAAGTTAATCCAAAATTTATACATTTTGAAGCCTATATAAAGATTTTAAAAAACACAAATCAGACACAATAAAGTTTAAAAAAACACAAGCAGGTTATAACTGTCATAGATCAAAACGTGAAAATATTTAGAGGCTTTGTTCACCACAGACCTTATTTCAGGCGATTTAGCAAAAACCCATTCAAAAATCCCATAGACTTTAGATCGAGGGAACCGTAGTGCTAAAATGCTAACTCACTTCCGCGTTTTGGCCTACAGAGTGACGTCGTAACTTCGGCACTCTATTAGTAAGCCCACATAATGCACGTCAGACGACGTCTGCAACTGTAGTTGACGTCTGTACTCTCGGCACACAGACTGATAAGGCAAGGCTATGTCACACCATTAGGACTGTCAAACGATTAATCGCGATTAATCGCATCCAAAATAAAAGTTTGTGTTTGCATAATATATGTGGGTGCACTGTGTATAATTATTTTGTATATATATATATATATATATATATATATATATATATATATATATAAAAATACACACACATATTATGTAAACACAAACTTTTTATTTTGGATGCGATTACTCGCGATTAATCGTTTGATGATGTATTAATCGCGATTAATCGCATCCAAAATAAAAGTTTGTGTTTACATAATATGCATGTGTGAGTATTTATATACACAAAATAATTATAAACAGTGCACCCGCATATATTATGCAAACACAAACTTTTATTTTGGATGCGATTAATCGCGATTGATCATTTGACAGCCCTACACACCATTTTATAATCTGCTTGCCTTGACTATCATCCAAACGTGCATCAGTGGGCTCCGACTCCGAACCTGTGCTCTGAACTCTCTCTAAACTTTTCACACGCATCTGACCTATCAGGTGCAAGGTTTTCAGCGAATCAACGATCAGAGAATACTTTGAGAGCAAGGTTGTGGGCAGATGTTACAGCTCCTCTCCTGTCATTAATACGCTGTGGTCTAGCCATCAACAGAAAATTAACGGATTGAGAGGGGAGAAAAATGGATTTTGGCGTGACATTTCTTGCGTGAGAGCGTGAGATTGATGCTGAAAGCATGAGAGTTTGGTCACTTCACAAAACCTGGGACAAATGCAATGCAACTATTTAGTTGTGATCGTGTTTGGCGTTACAACCAGTCACCTTTGCTTAACACTAAAATTTAAAAATTTGCGTCTTAAGATTACAAAAAGCTAAACACCATAATGTGTTTTTATAGAGAACGGCATGTCCTGAGTGGATACACTGTATCAGGAAGTTGTTTTATTTTCTAAGATTATTGCGGATAAATTCAAGGCTACTAAACCGTCATGGTTTACAGTCACCATTATGCATGAAGTTATGATGTTGTTTATGCAGAGTGATTTTAGTACTATTTATATACTATTGTAGTTTATGTAGAAGCCATTAACATTGAGAGGAACAACGCTGACTCTTCCTGTAAAAAGCAAATCTTGTTAATTCCCTGACCAGTGATTTGTGATTAAAATGGCATTAAAAGACTACAATACACTCAATATTTGGCCTTAGGCCATATTATATTGTATAATATATGTTTATTTACAGTTTATTTCTATTTACTTTTTAGTTTTACTTAAAGGAATAGTTCACTTTTCAAAAAACATTTGCTGATTTATTTTCATCCAAGATGTCCATGTCTTTCTTTCTTCAGTCGAAAAGAAATTAAGGTTTTCACAGAACAGAGCTAGGTGAGTCTGGTGTCGTTTAAAGCCTTTTGAACAGTTTGCAGTTTGCACTGAAACTCTCTTTTGGACCTTGAGCCGTTTGGACCCCATTGAAGTCCATTATATGGAGAAAAATCCTTGAATGTTTTCATCCAAAAACCTTAATTTCTTTTTGACTGAAGAAAGAAAGACATGGACATCTTGGATGACATGGGGGTGAGTAAATTATCAGCAAAAGTTTTTTGAAAAGTGAACTACTCCTTTAACAATAACAACTGCATTTATGGGTAATTTTGAGTGATTTATGAACCCAGTCTCTTGGTGCATGTTATTTGACAGCTGCGTTACCTGTTGCGGTCGTCTCCATCTGTGAGTGTGTTTTCAATGCCGCTGTCAGTTTCCACATCCTCATGCAGTTCTGGATGGACCAGAGCCGTCGTGTCCTCGTCCGTGAAGGTTTCACACTCACTGTAGGCGCTCTCAGAGCCGAGATACGCACTGTCCGAGACCTCCGCCTGCTGCAAACAAACACACCGATTACAAAACTTTTATTGCTACGAAGTTGGAGACATAATGGTGTTCTTGGGTATGTTGGTGCATTATATAGATCTAGGAACAAAAAAATGCAATAACAACGTGGAAAACTGAAACTTATTATTATTTTTATTATTATTTTTTCCTTTTTAAAGTAAAATATTTTTCTCTTGACCTTGATCTACTGTTTATTTTCCTTTTTTTCCCTTCAGTTTTACACCATGTCAAACTTTCTTGAAAAATCAATAATACAAAAAAAGTTACAAATAAAAACAGAATGCGAACCCCACGTTCTTCAGTTTATATTTTTCTATTTTATATTAAGGATATTTTATATCCATTTTATCTTTTATACTATACACAGCAGCCAAATAACTGGATTAACATCTCAGATATTATCATGAAAGTTACAATTGATCAAATTCAAAAGTGAACCTCAAACCTTCAGTCAATCGATTCGAACCAAAAGAACTCGGAAATCCACATAAACCTGCATCTCAGAAACGTACCTGTTTGAGTCCGAGAGGAGCTCCTAGAACTGGAGAGGCCATTCCCAGAACCATCCTCCCAACTAAAGTACCACCACACGGGAAAAACAGGTTCACCAACAAAAACAAAAAACCGCAAAACTAGCAAACGCTTCCTGTCTCTCTCACAGTCACCATAGAAAGAGTCAACACAGATAGATATTACTCCTACTCTGTTTCTCTGGAAAATGAAGAACAAAGTCTGAAGGGCACCTAGACCAGAAATGGGAGGAGCCTGTGCCCCTAACCACGCCCCTTTTGATTTAACACTACCCTCATGTGCCAACACACGTCTAAACAGCATGTGTGCATATATTATCTGGCTGTGACTCAAAACCTACAGTAGTGAGCTGCCTACTTAGTACTTTCGTGCATCCATGATGACCAAAAATGATGTCTAGATAGACGGCTCACTAGGGTTTATGACACAGACTATTGCTGTTATTCATTTCAAGGTGTTCCCAACTTCCCATGTAGCAAAACATTAACACTTCACACCCAACACACACAAACACTTATTCAGGACAGCATGTGCTGACACAATCAAATGTTCTGATGAATGAAAGGTGTGCGTGTGTGTGTGTGTGTGTGTTATAAAAAAAATCTATCACCAGCCTGTCCTGTTTATTGTCAAGCATATGTGTGTGTAAGTGTGTTTATTCCTCTGGATGAGGTGTTACACACACCACCTCGGCCAGTGTGTTTTGAAAGCAAACATGGAAACAGCACAGCCATTCATGAAACACAGGAAAACACACAGGTGTGTAGGTGTGTGCGTGTGTGTGTGTTTCATTAGAAGTGACGGGAAGACCGGAATGAGGAAAAGGCAAGTCACAAAAGTAGCACATATTTACAGAATAAATATGCTAAATAATGAGGTTGCTATATGCATTTTTTGAAAAGAGTTTGTGTTTCTGTAATCACAATTTATGAATTTACTTTGAAACTATAACTATAGGCTAACTCTTAATTATAATTAAAGCTTATGATAGACATAAACACTTAGGTGTTGGTGTTCAGATAACCATCATTTAATATAGTGGTAATATAATATAGCTATATCAGAGAATAAATATATAATGATAAATCAAAGACATAATTTACTATCACAAAAAAACTAAATTAATAACATGATTATGAAAAAAAAATGTAAAACTGAAATAAAAATAAATTAAACCTTAAATACCAGTATTTAAAATAAAATAAAAAACCTATGAGACAACTTTCTTTCACATGTTTCTGAATTAACCACAAATCTCAAATAATCAAAATACTAAAATCCTAGTATACACCCTAATTTTCATAAATGAGTTGCAAAACAACAGCATTTACCTAGAAATTTCACAAAAAGACCGATTTCATGAATCACCCAAACGAACCGGCTAACTTTATTAAATCTTTCCAAACAATTTATGTGAGGAAAAAAAACAAAGTGCATGTTTGATTCTTGCCTCAGGCTGCGCAACCATATGGTTAAAAAGGCAAAATAATGTTTTGCTACTTCTTGAAAAAACCAAAAAGCTGCTGAACTGAACCAGCAGGCGGTGCTGTGGCAGAACAATGCCCATGCTCTGCTTCTCATGTTCTCAGAAACTCGTCTGTGGTCTTTCAATCTTTTGGGGAATGTGTGGAATGTGCTGGCCTGGATTCCACCAGTCTGCAATAAGGGGGTCCTAACATTCTGATTTATTATATTTATCATGGAGAAAACGGGCCAAATAACCACACGCAATGTGTATTACCTCGTCATAATCCTCTGGAGGTCCACTAGCTTCCACTGCGCTGAGATGAGTCTTGTACAGGTCTGGATCGGAACCTGATTAAGATGCAAAAAGAAAAGCATTTCCTTATTAAAACTTCGAGTTTTATGGCAGTGGGCTGATGGACAAATGTTTGTTTAAATGGACATACAGAAAATATGTCACACCATGATTTGGAGAAACCGAGGTTTATAACACATTATCCCCTGGTTTCACAGACAAAGCTGAAGTCTAGTCCCAGACTAAAATGAATGTTTAAGCCGTCTTAACTGAAAGCAATTTAAAGGAGTAGTTCACTTTAAAAAAATCTTTTCTTTTAATTTACTCACCCCCATGTCATCCAAGATGTCCATGTCTTTCAATTTCTTCAGCGAAAAGAAATTAAGGTTTTTGATGAAAACATTCCAGGATTTTTCTCCATATAATGGACTTCAATGGGGTCCAAACGGCTCAAGGTTCAGTGCAAACTGCCAACTGTTCAAAGGGCTTTAAACGATTTCAGACGATGAATAAGGGTCTTATCTAGCGAAACGCTCGTTCAAAAAAAAAAGTTTACGTTTTATAAGCTCGCCTTGCTCTGTTCTGTGATGCGCGTTCGTGACTTTCCTGTTCGAATTCGTTTATCAAAATTAACGAATCTTTTTTTGTGTCATTTGGTTCATTCAACGAACGAAATGGACGAGTTGACTCGGGAAAAGATTTGTTCATTTTGATGAACGAGTTTGAACAGGAGAGTCACGAACGCTCATCACAGAACTTTTTTTTTTTTAATGAGCGATCGTTTCGCTAGATAGACCCTTATTCATCGTCTGGAATCGTTTAAAGCCCTTTGAAAACTGTCATTTGGACCTTGAACCGTTTGGTTCCCATTGAAGTCCATTATATGGAGAAAAATCCTGGAATGTTTTCATCAAAAACCTTAATTTCTTTTCGACTGAAGAAAGAAAGACGTGGACATCTTGGATGGCATGGGGGTGAGTAAATTATCAGCAAAAGTTTTTTTTAAAGTGAACTACTCCTTTAAGCGGACAGATCTTAAAATATGTCACACAGGTCCATTGTTTTCTCAAAGATGCACATCACATCAGTAATGTTCTTTTCTAAGGCACGTTTATAAAGCTACTTAAATGTCCTAATCCTGGCTTAATCTAAGCCCTGTCTGTGAAACCGGGCCTATATTCTTCCGTTGTAAACAGTCATCATGGATGAAATACACGGAGCATCTGGGCTGTCTGGAGTCCAGGAAACTACATTTATGCAATGTGTGTAATGAGTATTTTTTTTAGCTAGCTGGAATATTCATGAATGAGAAGAGGTTGGAAAGAAGAAAGCATATTTTATGGTCTGGATTCAGATCCTCATTCTTAAATAAAGGCCACGACTGTAAAACTGTTACATTTACAAACAAAAGTGCAACATTTCCCTAATGTATTTCCCTTTACCCAAATCTATGTTTCTTGCAATGAGGAAAGCTAACAACATGGTCCAAGGGTGTGTTTCCCAAAAGTATCGTTAGCCAACTATGGCCGCAAGCAAGTGTTGGGCCGCTAGTCAATGTCCTTATTTGTCAGTTCCGCTGCAAATACTGACGTAATTGTTCAAAAAACATCATAGAGAACAGAAAATATGACCAAAACAGAATATAAAGATATAAACAAAGCACCTGAAGAGAATAATTTCATCTTTTCTGTACTTATAAACACTCCAAATATACAACAAAATGGATTTAAGGGCTAAAAAAGTGGATTTTGCATGATATGTCCCCTTTAAAATGTACAAAAATCATATGTGTAATTCAGAGCACAATTCAAACGAGATCAAAATATTTGTTGTCTCTCACCATTGACTACCATTTAATATTTTTCAGAAAAAAATATTTTTTTGAGTGATGTCATTGACTATACTTTTTGAACCAATGTGGTTTCAATGGATAGATGTGAAACAAAGTTACTATATTTTCAGGAAACAGTCATGACTAGCTAGTGAGTTTCTCCAACGATGCATCGCAGCGAGTTACGTCTTTGTACGGGAAATGTATGCCAGATTAGTTCATTTGAGTTCAGTTGTAGTGTTGTGATTTTTCCGCCACTGACGCTTTGTTGTTTGCCACACCACGGCAACTGGTTATTTAACACATAAAAGCAAGAGTTCAGAAATGCACATCCACGGAAATATCGAAACCATAATTTCTAGCAACCATGTTATATAATTTCCACCTTAATTTTTTTCCCATGACCTGGTAAATGCTCTCGAGTACAAATTGACAAGCAGAGAGAGGTGGATGCTCCAGTAACTCATCCATTAGTGACGAGCGAAATCTGACACGTGAAACACAGAGCGCCATTAGAAACATGACCTCATCCTCATTACTGAAGTGATATCAGTAGAAAACCCAAGCAAAGTGCTCAAACTATTCCACCATCATCATGATCAATCGAAAACACCAGATGGGGAGTGTGTATGCTCTCTATTCGACAAATAGTGAGAAGCCAACATGCATTTCAAGGAAATAAGCATGTTTATATATTTGATACAAATGCTTTTTATGTCTACTAGCTAGATAGTACTAGTGTCTAGGAACAGAGTTTAACGAACTCAGACTAACTATTCTGAAGGTTTAGAGCAGATTCAAATGTACAGCATCTGTATGGCAAGCCGTTTTAACTTTTATTCATTTCCAGGATATAAATTCTTGATATCAACAATTGAATTGCTGATCTGTCATTGTATTTTCACTAGTGAAATGTCATTCAAAATCAATTGTTGATATCAAGAAATTGAGTTTTACTAGTAGAAATATCATTTTTGATATCAATAATTAAATTGTCACTAGTTGAAATGTCTATTCTTGATTTCAACAATTCAATTGCTACTAGTAACAAAAATTTTGATATGTGAAAATGTATTTCTGATATCAATATTATTTTAGATATCTAAAATGGCTTTCTTACTAGTAACAATCACATTCATGATTTCAGAAATTAACATTGTCTCTAGTAAAAATTAAATTTTTGATATTAAAAATGAATATTGTTACTAGTAGCAATTGAATTGTTGATATCAAGAATAGACAATTCAACTAGTAACAATTTAATTATTGATATCAGGAATTCACATTTTTTACTAGTAATATCTTGATAACAATAATTGATTTTGAATGGCAGCCTATGGTGACATTTCACTAGTGAAAATACAATTACAGATATCAGCAATTGAATTGTTGATATCAAGAATTCATATCCTGGAATGAATAAAAGTTCAAACGGCTTGCCATAGCATCTGTGTCTAATCCAGGTGTCTTCAAGAAAACTATAGTAGCAAACTATAGTGAGGATGAGGATGATCATGATCTTTGCATTAAAAACCAGGTTCTGTCAGATATGTTGGTATGATTTCACAATGCCTTTCGTTTGAATGTTTAATCTAGCTCTTAAAACTCTTTATATATCAGTCATGTTTAGCTCCTGTGCGGATTTTGTTTGTCAGCAAGTAAAAGCTCTTCAAGTGAGACTGTTTTCTTTAAAAGAAATTCAAAATCCCCAACTGAGCAGCGTGATTCATTTCAGTGAGTAATTCACAGATGCTCTGACTCATTATTTTGCACTGTGTTTTTGTACACAGTATTTCAGGAGAAATCGTTATCAAATAGTATCAGATTATCACTCAGTCATGAAGAAAACAAGATTTGTTGTGTGTCTGACTTCTTTTGAGGACAAAACTGATGATGAATTTCTTGGCCAAATATAAACTCCTTTTGTGGATGTCCTCAAAATTAATAAATGCTAAATAAAGGTTCACAACATAGTTTTATTCTGAAAATGACGTTGCATTTTTAGGGTTTGGGTTAGTCTATTATATAATTAATCTGTAATTAAGAACAACAGATGTTAATGGAAACTCCCAACGGGATTTAAAATATGACTTGAGTGTGTGTGTGTGTGTGTGTGTGTGTGTGTGTGTGTGTGTGTGGCAGTACCTTCATTGCTGATAGCACTGATGCCTCTGTGGAAATCCTCAAAACTGATCACACCCAGACCGCTGGGATCCAAGAACCGGGTCAAATCCTTCACCTGAAACCACAAGCAAAATATTCATCATCATCTTACACAAACAGAGCACAGATAACGATGTTATCATACATTTATTGACAACAAAACACACATAAATTGATTCACCCACAAGATAAAGAATGAAAACCGTAGGAGAAATTTGTCACCTTAAAAGTCTTTCCTTTTATTTTTTATTAATATGTACGGATGTTAACTTCTGCAGTTAAGGATGTTAACTAACTTAACTTCTTTTTTGATAATTTTTTTTTAAATAATCAAAAAGATGTGAAGTGAGATTAAGAGAGAGTTTGTGATATTCAATAAAAGTGACATGGGCTCATTTAGTATTGTTCTTATCCATCTAACCTTCCATTTAGGAACAAAACAATGCTATGATATCTTTTTTGTAACTTACGGATAAACAAAACAAAGACAAAAATCTGTCAATCCCTAACATAGAGTGACAAAACATAAAACACACATTCCTTCCCTCTCTCTCTCTCTCACGCTACACTCCAGTGAACAGACACAATTACACAGTCGGTAACCAGGCAACAGCAGAACTGACAAGTTGTGAATTCTAAAATCAAAGTTCTCAAAGAACACAAGTGAGGAAAAACACCAAATACCTCCGACTGAGAAATCAAAACATGACACTGGTGCCTACACATTTAACTCTGATTGTGTGTGTGATATTTCAGCCCTAATGGCATCAAATGACACATCTTCTTATCAAATACACACATACACTCACACACAAATAAACATTCATTTGAGTTTAAAGGAGTAGTTCACTTTTAAAAAAAACTTTGCTGATGATTTACTCACTCCATTGTCATTCAAGATGTCCATGTCTTTCTTTTTTCAGTTGAAAAGAAATTAAGGTTTTTGATGAGAACATTTCCCCATTTTTCTCCATGTAATGGTCTTCAATGGGGTCCAAACGGCTCAAGGTCCAAATGAGAGTTTCAGTGCAGCTTTAAAGAGCTTTAAACGCCACCAGACGATGAATAAGGGTCTTATTTAGCGAAACCATCGGCCATTTCAAAAATAAATTAAAAAAGTTTAAGTTTTATAAGCACAAATGCTCACCTTGCTCTGTTCTGTGATGAGCATTCGTGACTCTCCTGTATGAACTCGTTCATCAAAATGAACAAATCTTTTTTCGAATCATGACTGTGATGTTTGCTTGATAAGACCCTTATTCATCATCTGGTGTCTTTAAAGCTGCACTGAAACTGTCTTTTGGACATTGAACCGTTTGGACCCCATTGAAGTCCATTATATGGAGAAAATCCTGGAATGTTTTAATCAAAAACCTTAATTTCTTCTCCACTGAAGAAAGAAAGACGTGGACATCTTGGATGACATGGGGGTGAGTAAATTATCAGCAAAATTTTTTTAAAAGTGAACTACTCCTTTAAATTACTATGTAGGGAACTTATGGACTAACTGAAGTGCTAAATGAGCAGGAAAATCTGCAACATGAGATCATGAACTCCTGGATGATATTGGCTCATTTCACGTCAGGCACATGGGAAACAAGCAGGTGATGATTGAGTAACTTCAACCATGCTGTTGACTAAAAATAACCTGTAATATAACCAGATCTGTCATCACTCTTCAGAATCACTCATTCCAGAGAGCTGTATAATAAATACTAGCAGTTTATCAGTAGTTTATTTTCTACCATGTATGCAATCATTTAAAGATTCCAGGTTTTAATCACCTGTACCATCAAATATTCTTTCAATTAACCAATCACTTGCTCAATGTGATGAGTAAGTGTAATGTGCGTCAGCTGTTTTAACCCCAGAACAGAAGCATCTCAACTCAAGGCGTGAAAAATGGCGAGTCACGAGTCGAATTACAGATGAATTATTCTACATTTCTTACATTTTAAAATGCACAGTAGCTTTCTCATAGATATGGACTGAGTCACACACATGGACATTGTTGCACAGTAACCCAATGCCAAATACAGTTCCTTCCAGGCAAATGCTACTTCCGGGTAAGAATTTGCATCCAACATCATGCAAAACCCATAGCAACAGTATCATTAAAAGATAAAACGACGTGGAAACAACATCATAGTGTGTAACAGGCACAGACTCTCCTGTCCTGTGTGTTCAGTACTTTTTTTTTAAAAAACATCATATCAGTTTCGGTCTACCTGTCTCTCGCCACCTCTTCAGTCATAAAAGATTTCAGTGAGCCAACCAGCTGAGCAAGCTCTTATAATGTACACTTGAATCACAAGGTGAAGTATCTGTAAATTTGAGTCCAATCACAGTCACGCAGACAAAGGAATGACCCCTGAGGCTGGGACGAGTATGGCATGCAATATCCTTCCTGAAACCATAAACTACCTTATAATGAACACGCAAACTTGCTTACTGTTGCAATCGTGTGATACTTTTCACATAACAGGGGGGTTAAATTTTAAACCTGTGTCACACGGTCACAAGACTGTACATCAAATGTAACAAGGTGCATCTGAGAAATGATGAATAACAATGACGAAAGACAAATAAAAGCATGCATTTGTACATGCACCCCTCCCTGTCATTCATCTGGCCGTTTAACCTTTCAGCTGATCGGATCAGCAGTTTTAACAGTCACAAAAGATACAGACTTCCGGCATCAAATCCATCCTCTCTTAAACGCACAATGGCGCGTGTCTGGGGGATCAGGAGTTAAAGCCAAACGCAAATCTATATTCTGATCAAAATGGCAAAAAATAACCAGAGGGATTTTCAAATTGGTACAATCAGTCTGAAAAACAGTTTAAATATTAAATACATACAGCCTCACTCGTAGTCTACTGACCTGCTCACACATGAAGCCCATCTATAAGCAGTAGTGAGCAACATCATTAACACTACGAACATCCAATATTGTTCAAAGAACTCATATCACAAACCAATTCATACAGCCCATACAATAACTATTATTGCTTTTCCTTCAGTTTAGGTGTCAATGATGTGACATCCAAACTCAATTAAACTGTTTCCTTCTACTCAGCCACCTAAAAGTAATATTCCTGTTTTAGTACAAAGCATTAAGCACAATCGACAGAACCTGTGACTTAATATCGATAATAACAACAAAAACTGCCACTTTTTCTTTAAAATAAGAAAATATTGTGACGCTCACAATGGATGTGAATAGGGCCAAATGATAAATGTTGAAATATTCTGTTTCAATAGTATAGCCATAAAAAATTCGAGTTTAACGTGTTTTCAAGATTTTTTTTTTACACTGAAATCTATTTCTATGCAAAGTTATACCCTAATTGTACAACTTTAAATAAAATGTACGTAAAAACTATTAATATGTTTGAAAGTTCGAACTTTGAAAAGAAATGAAAAAAAAAAAAAAACTATAAGCTTTCAATTGCAAATGCTCAATGTAACCTACATTTTTGCTCTTTTTTAATTAAGTAATAGCATAGGACGATCAAAATATTGTCAATTGAGCTTAGCTGGTTTTAAATATATGTAATATAAAAAGTTAAAATATCGCAATAACAAAGTCACAATGTAATTAAACATAAAAAAGTAAAAGAAAAACACCTCAAAAGTTGCTAAACTTGGGTATGATTATTACAAGTCACTGAAAAGTGCAGGCTGTTAACACTTTGTTAAACAGAATAGTTAAAACAGGATAGTCTCCATGAGAGAAAGAGTGAGAGATACAGGACAAGAGTTGTATTCTGAGTCTTTGAGGGTTTGAATAATAAAAGAGCAGTTCTTGGGTGTCACCACGATCAAGTTTCAATTGGAGCTATGGGACCCAAGGGAAGACACACACACACACACACACACACTGTCCTGTAATCATAAAGCATTTTTATAGCATTTACACCCCCACCCTCCATTTACACACACCCACAAACTCCCACAAATAGACAAAGATGCACCAAAAACTGACCTGTTCGGCTCCGTACGCTTTTGCGAACTCGATAAACTCCTCAATATGGACAAATCCATCTCCGTCCTGATCCAAAGCTTGGAAAACTGCTCGGAGAGCCGACTGCTCCTCGCTTCTATGGGGTGCAGTGGAAACGTTAATCAAATCCACGGGGACCCTCTGGTCATGAAGCGACTTGGTTGGTAGCGAGTCTGAGGCCTTGCACAAATCCAGAGTCATTTCTGCATGTTTGGAAATGTTGGAAGTATCAGGAGTATTTTCCATCAAGGTCAGGTAGGCCTCCCCATCTAGGCTGGATCCGCAGGGAAAGACATTTCTATGCAAGGGAGGAGAACTGGGGGAGACTGAGCTCACTTGTTGCTCCAGTGCCAGGTCTATTGGTGATGGTGTCAGCTGATGGAAATCCTCCTGATGTGTAAACCGAGCAGCAAACCCCACCTCTCCCTCTCCTGTAGCTTCACATGATTGGCTGCGAGTTTCTGTGTTGTCTGTAAGATCCGGCCCCGAAAGTCCATCCATCAGAGTCAGCTGATCAACTTCACAGGTAAAGGGAGTGGACTCGGGATTACTGGCACAATGAGGAATGACTTCACTCCGAGTAGAAATTCTGCAATCCAATCCCTCCCCTCCCTGTAAAGACATACTTTGAAGTTTCTCTTTGACTTTCAGTGGTGTGTTATGACTGTCACGGTGAGCCGTCACATTTTCTTCGGGTGTATCTATTACAATTGCACTTGATTTTGCAGTCATAGAGTCATTCAGTTGGTCAACAAGTGCAGTCTCTTTATGTTGAGCATTGATTTGTTCCTCTATTGTTCCACTCGGTTCTTGATTGTTGTCGGATTTACTGCTATCTAGATTTAAATAATCATTTTGCAAGTTGTCCGACTTGTTTTTCAGATTGGTTGCCTCTGGGTTTTGATGCAAATCTGAGGTCTCCAAAACTTTGAGTGTGTCCACTGCCTCATGGTCATCATCTGGGTTGCCTGTTTCTACACTTGCTATATTATCCTGAATTTCAAGTCTGAGTGCATCAGGTTCAAGATCACATTTTTCCTGATCTGTTAGCTCAAAGGCATCTGTCACAGATGGTATTACAACGTCTAAAGATGGTACAGCTTCACAAGAGACGCTGTCCGTTAAGATCTCAAACATGGCAACAGGAATAAGGTCTCCATATCCATCATGGAGCACCTCAGATAAGGCTTCAGCCTCAGTTGAGTGTGTGGGCTGGCTGTGATCCTCAGGTAAGATGTCATCTTCTGGTGAGAGCTCAAGTAAGGCATTATGCTCAGGTGTGTGGACCGGTAAGGCTAATGTGGACTCTTGTCTGTCTTTGTCAAGCAGGCTATCAGTTGAAGGATCATCTGCTTGTAAATCTATAAAAGCAATTGGTGCGAGTTCTGTTTTAGCTTCAGAAACAACGTTATCAGTCAAAGCGCTGGGCACAGCCTCCTTTCTTGCTTCTTCACCAACCGTTTCCAATTGTGCACCAAATGTGCATTCTGCGGATATATCATGCGACGATTCTTCACAAACTTTAGGTGATATGCAAGACTCACCTAATGGGGCAGTCTTTGCTTCAGAGGATAGTTTTGTTGTCTCTTGGCTCTGAAGATCATCGTCATAAGTCTCATTGCTAGCTGAGGGTTTACTACTCTCCTGTTCAGAGTACAGATGTCCAGTCATCAGCTCAGGTAACAACATCTGTTCCTCGTCCATTTGAAGGGGTGCATATGGTGAGCCAGGTGGATCTGAAGGGATGGGCTCAGGGGAAATGGCTGAGGATGGGAGGTAGATGTCTTTAGATGTAGGAGGAGGTGCCTGACAAATAATTGAAGGCTTGGGATTTGAGTTTGTATCCACACATGACACCTCCACGGGAGAAACAGGCAACAAACCTTCAGATAACAGAGTGAAGTCAGTCCCGTGAGAAAGGAAGCTCTGACTGCCTTCAAACGTTCTTCCCTCTTGGGAATTATGGTTGAACTCACAGTTTGTTAAATGCGTGTCCTCAAGATTGAGGTTAGTTTCTTGTAATAATGTTTTGTCAGTCTGAATAGTGGGGTTGTTAATAACCAACTCACCTGTGTACACATCTAGAGGGTTTAAAGTGGCAGTAACCTTCACCGGTTGCAGGAATTCAGGCATCTGTTCAGGAGGATTGTAAAAGTCGTGTTGATTCTGCACGGGTAAGTTTGAGAACGTAGGACTAGTCGATCTAGAATTAAAACTGATGAGATCTCCATCCACGATTTCCAAACTTCCAGGAGAACCCTCTCCTTTGAGATCTGGGGAATGAGGAGGCGGAGTCTTCCATTCGGGATAGACACATTCCAGATTATTTTCCCAGGAATACGTCTGCCCAGAATACTGAGAAGCCCAAAATAGGTCATCAAGGTTTATCGCGTTCTCCTGAAAAATTTCATTGGTAGAATCACCAACCGAACTGTTATCTTTATCCATAAGGAGAAATCCAAGGGGATTCTGTTCGGATTCCCACTCTGCTTTCCCACTCACCTCCCACTCAGAACACCCCTGAGGGCTGGAGAGAACTTGCTCCATTGAAAAGAAGAGTTCTCTCCTCGGAATAATGGAAATATTCCGGAAATTCCAATCCTTTGTTATGATCCCACAAGGTAATGTTCGGAATTCAAAAGTAATTGATGGCCTCTTCCAGCATACGCACCAAAAGAAATATCCTTGTCGAGACCCATGCGTAAGCGTCCACCTCCCTGTAAATGATCAACTACTGTTTACTTTCGCGGACACAAGGATAATGTTTCACTGCGCAACACAGCTCCATGTAGGCAGAGATATATTTTACAATATGCAAACCTCTCCATGAAAAAAAAAAAAAAAAAAAAGTTGGCCCTGTTTCCCTGTTCTGCATACAAATTCACATCTAATCCATTTAACATAAGTCTTCTCAAAGTGTGTTGATCCACATCCCAATCAACACATAATAAGAGGATTACAGCAGTATTTAGTAAAAAAAACCTCAGAAATTCATAATGAAAAATACAATCTTAGAAAATGTACATGTATAAGAGAATACAGGAAACTACATAAAATAGAGAGCTATATCATTGCAAATTTCACACTGAACATTCAAATTTTTGTTAGCTTTCAACTTCCCAATGTTAAAAAACTGAACCTGGCTCTCATAAGACAATCATTTATAAGGTTACATTAATGGTTTGACACTTCCCTGGAATAACAACTAAGTATTAAAGTCTGTAAACAATTAATCATTTTATGGGGCAGTATATTCAACCATTTTTCTCAGAAAAACCATGTTGTCTCGCAATCTAAGAGTAAAGCTTAACATCTAAGCGATTTTTTATGTTAATACAACACGCTGTGATTGTGTTGTCAGGCTGAAAAAATAAAAATAAAACCATTAATTAATAGATTGATCTAGCGCGTTTAGCGTCAGCATCCTCCACAACTGAGGTAAACCCAACGGCCGACTAGCTAGCCCAAACGACCCCCTCTTATTTTAATTTCCCGTTTGAATAAAATAAGAGCCTTGATGTGTCTCTGCCCACCGTCAGAGTTGATTTAATCCCTTAATTTGATTTGGTGGTAGGTGATTTATTCTTCAGTTTATCCTTAAACAGGCCAACATCCAGGTCGAGTTTTACGAGTCATCCACCTGCGCTTGTTATTAGCCTGTTAGCGAGGATAAAATCAGCTCGAGACCCCCGATAATCCCACAAATCCTTCGACGACGATTTATCCGTTAATCTGAAATCCGAGATTTAAGATTAGCTCCTGAGGTCTTGTTTTTTTTTTTAGTCGAAGAATGATGTTTCAGTAATATGTCTCTCTTTCTCTCTCATCAGCAGCAATACACAACCTCTGCTGTCTCATTCACACATACACACTCGCGTGTACACGCGCACACAAACCGACGTCAGCAACACGCATGCGCAGCGCCGGCGCCGCAGTCTACAGCTTTAAACCACAGGCGTCAAGAATCTATTCCTCGCGCAGTTATCTTTGGTGATGATGGAATGTAGATTTATAACGGCATTATTATTCTTATGTCAAATTCCAGCCCATCTGTTAACCGACGACTATGATGCCTTATTAAAAAAACACTCCTGTGGTAAAATAGTGGCTAACATTATCGAGAGAGTTCGCCAGAATTAAATGAGTTAATCGACTACTTAGATTAGAAGAAATGCTTATTTGTTAACCAAACAAGTGTTATTTTCAGTAATTGAATGTGATTTTCTTGCGCCCCCTTGTGTCTGAACAAAGACGTTACAGCTAATAACATAGCTCGAAAAAGTGATATGAGCATTATAAAAGATTTATTATGAAAACTGTGAAGTACATAATAATATATTATTTACGTTTCTTCACAATGTATTGTAGCTGAACATGAAAAAATGCACTAATTTACGTAGATCAGAACAGAAGTAAAATAGACATTTTGATGTATTATAATTACTAATACTTTGTGGTTAAACATAACTGAAATCTATGACAACTGCTATGTAATAAAAATGCACAGTTCAGAGGTATCTATAAATATACCAGGTGACTCACATCTTTCATATCTCACCTCAAAATCAAAAGAAAATTTGAAAATATATTTGCATAAACTGCTGTCTTTTTTCTTGTTACCATGAATGAGAGAGACAAAAAATAATGAATCAGATTAAAATTGTAACATTCATAATTCATAATATTGACATTAATTTATGCCTTAAATTTCATGATTAAGAATAAACTAAAATAGTATAACAGAGCATTATGAAAATTAGAATTAGGGTGGAAATTACTTAATTTCAATAATATCAATGTTTTTAATAATCCTAAAAATAGGCTTATTTTACTTTATGCAGAATATAATTTCACTTTTTTTCTTTGGTTTTTGAGGGTGAAAATAATCCGGGCATGTTTTTGCGAGCTTCAATAATATCTTCATGGAGATGTTGGCCTGATTACAACTGGTCCATTGCGGTTATTTCATCCACTTTAGTAATGCTATTTATCCTTTCTTTTCTCTGCAGACCAAAAACCTAGAAACAAAAGGGAAAATAAGTTACATTAAGATCTTCATACCAAGACTTTACCCACATATTCACAGGTCAATCATACAGAGGCAGAAAAATGATTAGGAAATATGATTTTTTTGCTCACCAGATCACATATTTGGAAAATTAATTCTCATAATTGTGTTTGAATAATTATATTAAAATTCTTATAAACGCCTGTCTTCCACCTCACGCACACACACACACCTGTGTGCGGTGCTGTCTGTTCATAGTTTTGCAGAGCGAGATGAGATAATACCCAGCATCTGCTCCACGTCATTGGTCGAGGTGAGCCACGCCCCTCCGTCGGTGACCAGTATGGTTCCAGTGACGTATGAAGCAGCGCGGCTGGCCAGGAAAAGAACAGCATGTGCAATTTCTGTCTTATTGCCGGCTCTTTGCAATGGGATGCCGCGGAAAGCCCCTGCAGTCTCGGCATGAGAACCACCTGAAAGAAGAGGAGGATAAAAATTGATAGTGAAGACGAAAATAGTGACACTTAAATTTGGCTACACACACAACTGGTCTTACCCAGTCTACGGTATCCCTCTGTGCCAGAGATGGGCCCTGGGGCCACTGTGTTCACCCTCACACCATTGGGGCCCCACTCGACCGCCAAGTGCCTTGTCATGGCATCTACAAACACACATACATATGCAGATAATATGCCCTTTTTTCAGCCGATAGGATCTCTCATATCCTTAAAGGGCCGGTTCACCCCAAAAATGAAAATTTGAGAGCTTTCTGTCCCTCCATTGACAGTCTACGCAACTGCCAGCCCCAGAAAGGTACTAAAGACATGTGGGGCTTGAAAGTGTCAGTTACATAGACTGTCTGTCAATGGAGGAACAGAAAGTTCTCAGATTTCATCAAAAACATCTTCATTTGTGTTCCGAAGATGAACCAAAGTCTTACGGGTTTGGAACAACATGAGGGTATTGCAACCAACATTATGGGGTCAAAAAAAAAAAAAAATAAATAAATAAATACATGCATGAATGAATCATTCACAATAAGACCAGCAACATGAATTGAACTAAATAAATAATTGGGAGTCATTTTGATTTCATGCCATTATAAACACCAAATATAATATGTTTTTTCTTTAATTCAGATTTTTCAGATCCAAATTGATTTGGAGTAACATCACCCTTCATACTACCTTGATTTATTAATTATTGTTGTAAAACTGTTAAAACTATAATATAATAAAATATTTAAATACTACATATTCTAACCCCTTTATTAAGCACTCAAACAGGCACTTATACCAGAACATCAACCAAAAAAGGACACTGACCATTTGCAGCCTTTGCCGACCCAGCATGCACCTGGAGAGCCTGACCTCTGTATCCCAGTGTGGCGGAAATGTTGACAATGGAGCCTCCATGATCCTGAGGGATAAAATAAAGACACTAACTATAAATAACTGATCGATCCAAAGTGAGAAACAAGTGAGAAAAAATTCCAAGATGCAAGTTAACTTGGTAATACTGCAAAGGTCAATGAAATGTACATCTTTACCTTGAACCATTTGTCAAACACCACTTTACTAGCGTTGAAAGTTCCCATGGTGTCGATCTCCATTACTGTCTTGAAAGCGTTAAATGACAAGGATGTCGCTGGGCACAAGAAATTACCTGCAGCATCTGAGAAAGAAAAAATCCACAAAACATACATAAACAATATATGTATGCAATATATATATATATTGAAAACAAATCCATGACACATGACATGATGATGTTAAGGCATGCTTGTATATAGTAATGGAAGAAACAGTCTATACTATAATTACTCTGAGTACTGCATTAAAGATACATTGATAAATGTAATTGTTCTGGAAAAGGAGACCTTATGTAAGAGTACTAGTAGACGGCTGAACTAGGTACAACATATTATGTAATCACATTAGAGAATGATAAAGAGAAACTTGGTCAGAGGGTGTTAGCTGATCCATATCTCTCTCAAGCTCTCTTTGGTAATACACTGTATGTTTGTGGCATTATATGATTCTTTTTTTATTATTGTTAAGGCACTGTGTTTGACCTCTGGTAACTCTAATAAGCCTTACTGTTAATAAGTATGTCAACACGTCCAAAAGTCTTCAATGTTTCATCCACGGCAGCAGTAATTGTCTCTGGTTTACGCACATCCATTACTATCGGCAAACATCGCTTGCCTGTAGCCCCGGTTAACTTCTTTGATGCCTAAAACACACACACACACACACACACACACACACACAAATATTAATTATTTTTCAAAGAAATTACATAAATGAGTTATTGGACATTTGTTGAGACATTACCTCAGAGAGTTTCTCCAGATTTCTACTGGCAATGACCGTGTCACACCCATGCCTGAATGAATTGTTATATATAATAGAATTATAGAAATAAAAATATGTAAATAACAAAATGAACTTCCAATGACTTAAGTTTTCTGATGTTCTAGCTAAAGATGCAGGCTTGCAAAAGACGACATGTTACCGAAGGTCACCAAGGTTAATGTCACATTATAAAAGGTTAGCCATGAGTGAAAGTGTCAGATTAAAAGTTCAGTCATAAATAAAGTGTTGACAGTGAGAAACTAGTAGAAAATCACGGAAAACTCACCGCATCAGAACTTCTGCTATTCTAAATCCAATACCTGACCCGCCGCCGGTTATAAAAGCAACCTGATCACTGGGCAAACACACAAAAAATTATTATTATAAAAAGTATTATTATTATTATTATTAGTATAAGTATATGTATAAACTAATAAACTAGTAAATAAATACATTACATATATATATATATATGAAGAGTTCAGATGCAAAAGCCTCTAAGTGCCATTTGAAATTTTCTTCTAGAATGATCATTTTTATCAAGCTCGTATTGTTAAGTTCAGTAATTTCACTTAAATGGCAATGATAATTACCTATTAATTGTTATTTAAGTGAAATTACTGAACTTAAATATACAAGTTTGATAAAAAATCATCATTAAAGAAGAAAATTTCAAATGGCATTTAGAGGCTTTTGCATCTGAACTCTTATATATATGTGTGTGTGTGTGTGTGTGTGTGTGTGTGTGTGTGTTTATAAATATAAATAATAAATACATAATTATGTGTATATATTTATTAATATAAACTTCCAAAGCAAAAATGAAAATCAAAGGTGTTTATTGGACTTACATGAGCAGATCAGGGCTGTAGATGTGTGTGTATGTGCGCAAACACTCATCAGTCTCGATGTCCTCTGGCGAAATACTGACCAGCTGAGGTTTCTCTGCCATGATGCTCCTAAAGAACCACAAAAGGCCATAAAAACCACGTAAAAACTCATATTTTGCTTACACCGCATTATTAGCAAGTAACAGTTGAACTATTAAAAGTCCACATACTAAAAGTAAGATGTGATTTTGCAACCGCTGACCGTGAGGGAAAAGGTCACAACGAAGCGTGAAATAAAGTTCAGAGTTACATTACCACAAATGTGAATCCGTTGACGATCCGCTCCCACGTTGTTAATGAAGATTAAGCAAAAGTTGTTTTCATTCTGCACGATGGACTTCTGTACCTGGCGAGATACGTGACGTCAAAAGAACGTGCAGCGCATGGCGTTTTGGGAAATGTAGGCCAATGTTACTAGCGGTAGCCGTGTTGCCAATCGTAAAAGTTATGTATTATTTGAGGATAAAATAAAAAAGTTTACACTGTGTACAGTAGATATAACCATACTTGCTCTCCTGAACGACGTATCGATTTAAGAATAAACATTGTGTGCGCTCCTTGAGATTAAACCTCATAAAAGTACTGATGGCATCAGAATGATTAGCACATATTTACTTTACATAAGGCAAAATAATATTAATGTACAACAATGGAAGTTGTATGATACTTTTTTTGTTAGTAAAATCTTTTTTAAAAACGACTTCTAGGTAGAAGACCTACCTAGCTACATTTTAAAACATGATCAAAAAACAACACTAAAGGTTAAAACCAAACAAAGTAATCATTTTATTTTATGGAATGTCAAGGTTTACATATACAAAGACATCATGACTACTCATTTGAATGGGTGAAAATGTATAAATTCACAAAGAGACAGAAAACGTATAATTTTGATGTTTTGTTTAATGAACGTGTCCATCACAGCATCTGGACGACCTGTTTGGCTCTCTGTTGCTTCTTCTCAGCATCTGCTGTATCTGCCTCTTCTCCTTGTCCTTCCCAACGCACAATCGCTTCAGCTTTCTGCAGTGTGGAGGATCGTGCCAGTCCTTGTAGACCGTCAATATACGGTAACAGCATCTCAAAATGATCATCAGACACCTGAAAAAGTGAGAAATGCATGCATTTTTGCCACATAAAAGAAGAATGATCCCTGTGATGAGTAGGAAAGCATGCGATCCATGTTTTATTACTGGATAAAATGTGTGAAAATGTAGATGATTGATGTTTCTCACATACCTTCACGCTGTCATACATGTTTTGCAATAACCACGTTTGCCTGGATTTATTAAACTTCCACGCTTCTCGTTTCTTAGACCAACTAACAAACATAAAATAAATCAGTTAAAACAATATTTAACAATCTCTGATAGAAGAAGGAAACGTCATATGATAATCCAAGTTTTTGTACTACCATGTGAGGTATTCCAGCGCCTGCGTCTCTGCAACACTCGTCTTGACCTTTTCCGGATTTGTGCTTTTGCCTTTTTCCTTCAGCTTCCTCTTCTCCTCCTTTTTCATAATCTTCTTCAACTTCCTCTCCAGCACTCGTCTCTCCTCAGGACTCAGTTCTTCCTCTCCGTCGAGGCCGTTTTCATCCTCCACTCCAGACGGTTCTTGCTGGACTGAGGTGTTCACATCTCCAGAACTCTGAAAAATCAGGAGCTGTTTAAAATCAACATTTCTTCAAGATTCATTGATACATAGAAATATCTAAAGAGCAGCATTTATTTCTTTTGTAACATTATAATTGTCTTTACTATCACTTTTGATCAATTTAATGTGTCATTGTTGAAAATTTGTTTGAAAAAATATCAACCCCCAAATTTAGAATGGTATACACATGGCAAAGAAACCAAAAAGCCATTTGTTTAATAGAACTGCTTAATTACATTAATTTTGATTGAGAAACAATTTCTGAATAATTATCATATTCAAATACCATTTATTCATAAAGCAGATGCTTTTATCACAAGAGCCGATTATAGTCATTACACACTGTTTTAACCCAATTTTGGGTCAAATATGGACAAACCCAAACGTCATTAAAAATGCATTATACAAATTTAACCCAACGGCTGGGTTTGTCCATATTTGACCCAAAACTGGGTTAAAACAACCCAGTATTTTTTAAAGTGTAAGTTTAAGACATTTAAGATAGAAGGCAATATTATTTATACACCATTATAGTACTTTTTTGTTTCATATTTTGAATATTTTAGCTTTTACTTTAACATTTTTTGGTTTGTTTTAATATTAGTAACATTTTTGGATAATTTTGCTGTGCTTTTGTCAATTTTACTGTTTAAAAAAAAAAAAAAGATTTCTAGTTTTAGTTATTTTTAGCACTTCAACTTATTTTATTTCAGTTTGTTGCCCAGACATACATTTTAATATACTTTGTTGTTTTTTTGTTTAAAGATTGACCCATTGTTGGTGTCACTAAACTTTGTTATTTTAACCTTGTCTAAAATAACTGAGGGAGAACAAAAATAAACAACAGTTGTTATTTTATATATATATGAAATACATTTCTCTAGTTTTGAGAATTTGCCCATCACACACACAAATAATCGAGTTCTCCTTCACTGTGCAACTTTATATCTTCAGATGAGCTAGTTAGTGGAGCATTTATCCATCATATTGTTTGGGGTAAACAAAGGCGGCCATTGTCCGTGTATAACCTGGTCCTCCTGTATTTACGTATTTGTACATGAGACAGCGAGAATTCACCAGGAGAAACGTCTGCAGAATGAAGGAGAAGAACGAAGAACGAAACCAACAACAAATGTCAGACTTCTACATTTATTTCTCCATGACCTTAAAGGATATACACATGCATCCAAGAACAAACCAAGACAAGTTAATAAATATGGACACAAGTCTAATTCAAAACAAACGGTAAGATCATTATGTTGACCATTTCATTTAAAGCCATCAGCGAATTACTAGTGTAAATAAACAGAAAATCAGCAAAATGCACATTAGTAAAATTCTGTAGGCAAACCGTTGTCTATTGTAAATAGCGTAGAGATGTATAAAGCGCAGCTCGCAGGCTCAGTTGGTCGGTGTCGTGTGTAAAATTCACGTGACCGACTTGAAAATGGGAGAAATCTGTATGTGGAATATTTTCATAATTTGGCAAAACTCCCAATCGCACAGATTCCTGTTTTAATAACTGGATTTCGCCAAGCATAGTGAATGTGACTGCAACTAAAATAGTCCATGGATTAACTAATCATTTTCACATTTAACATTAACAAATAATTAATAAATGCTGCAGAAGTATTGTTCACCATCAACTATTAAAGGAGTAGTTCACTTTTAAAAAACTTTTGCTGATAATTTCCTCACCCCCATGACATCCAAGATGTCCATGTCTTTCTTTCTTCAGTCGAACAGAAATTAAGGTTTTTGATAAAAACATTCCAGAATTTTCTCCATATAATGGACTTCAATGGGAACCAAACGGTTCAAGGGCCAAATGAGAGTTTCAGTGCAGCTTCAAAGGGCTTTAAACGACACCAGACGATGAATAAGGGTCTTATCAAGCGAAACCAGTCATTTAAAAAACAAAGTTCAAGTTTTATAAGCTCAAAACTCGCCTTGCTCTGTTCTGTGATGCGCGTTCGTGACTCTCCTATTTGAACTCGTTCATCAAAATGAACGAATCTTTTTCCGAGTCATGACTCGAAGGGTCCTTGATAAGACCCTTATTCATCGTCTGAAATCGTTTAAAGCCCTTTGAAACTGCACTGAAACTCTCATTTGGACCTTGAACCGTTTGGTTCCCATTGAAGTCCATTATATGGAGAAAAATCCTGGAATGTTTTCATCAAAAACCTTAATTTCTTTTCGACTGAAGAAAGAAAGACATGGACATCTTGGATGACATGGGGGTGAGTAAATTATCAGCAAAAGATTTTTAAAAGTGAACTACTCCTTTAATTAAATACACATATATTGAAACATGCACCAAGATCAATAGTTAAACATTAATGTGCATGTGTCTTTGTGCATTTTAGTATTTGAAAGAGAGAAGGAAAATGGCAGTATATTTCCACACTATGGGACAATGGAAGTGATAGAAGGGAAGATGACGGAAGATCCGATGACCTTTGACCCCACCGTCGGACCGAATCACTCCAGCCAGCACTGGCCTCTTATTGACGTCAACGAAACGAGCTCCACCTACGCCATAAATCTTCTCCTCTCCTGCATCTACACCGCCCTGTTCTTCCCGCTCGGCCTCGTGGGTAACGTCCTGATTCTGCTGGTGAACTTTGACCCTCGTCAACGCATGAGCACCCCCGACCTGTACTTCACCAATTTGGCTCTGGCCGACCTGGTGCTGGTGCTGGACTCGCTCATCGAGGTGTTCAACCTGAGCGCGCACTACTACGACGACGCCGTGCTGTGCTCCTGCATGGCGCTCTTCCTGCAGGTCAACATGTACAGCAGTGTGTTCTCGCTCACCTGGATGAGTCTGGACCGCTGCCTTGCGCTGACCGGCCTCAGGGCGCGCGCGCTACCCGAAAACGCTTCCGCCTCGCACCATCCGCGCGTCGCCCGTAGGGCTTGCGTGACCATTTGGGCGGCGGCCACCCTGTGCACGCTGATCCCATTCGCTACAGCGCACATGCATCACGGCTGGGGGCGTGGCTTCTGTTTTGCGGGTGTGGCCGAGGTGCAGTGGCTGGAGGTGACGCTGGGATTCGCCCTGCCTTTTTGCGTGATGGGCGTTTGCTACACCCTGATCGCGCGCGTGCTTCTGCGCTCCGATAGGCCGCAGCGAACCAAAGCCCTGCGCATGATCGTCGCAGCCGTGAGCGTGTTTTTTGTGTGCTGGCTTCCGGAGAACGTCTTCATCAGCGTCCATCTCCTGAGTGGCGACACTGACGCCTCACGGCGGAGAGGGAACCACACGTTGTGGCAGCGCTACCCGCTGACGGGACACGTGGTGACCTTGGCGGCCTGCGCCAACAGCTGCCTGAACCCGCTCGTCTACAGCCTGCTGGGAAACACGTTCAGACAGAAACTGCAAGTGTTCGTCGCGCATCACGTGCACTGCCTGCATACATGCGCGCAGAATGTGAGCGCGACGCCACCCTGTCCATGCGTCGCTTGCACAAACACGCACCATTCGTGCTCGCATGAGAATATGGAGGAGGAGGAGCGTGACCTCCGGAGCGGCGAGGAGGGGCGAGAGTGTGTGTGTGACCGAGTGGGATAAACAGTCATGTTGTAATGACACAGGAGGACGAGTTCTTGACTTTATCCTATAAAATCATTACTATAATACTTATATTAAGCAAGTGATTGAATATGTCAGTAAAAACACACAAAACCTTTTAAATAAACGCTGTTCTTTTGATCGATCTATTCATCAAACACTCCTGCTCATGGTTTCAACTAAAATATCAGTGATGATAATAATCAGAAAAGTTTCTTGAGCTGCAAATCATCATATTAGAGTGATTTCTAAAGGATCATGTGACACTGAAGACGGCTGAGTGAGAATTCTGCTTTGATCGAAGGAATAAATTGTGTTTTAAAAACATTAAATATTTCAGAATATGACTGTTTTTAACATGAACAAACAATGAACTGTAGTTTTATCAAGTAATATTAACGAAGGTTAACCAATGCTGTAAAAATATATTGCTCACAGTTCATGTTAAAGGAGTAGTTCACTTTTCAAAAAAAACTTTTGCTGATAATTTACTCACCCCCATGTCATCCAAGATGTCCATGTCTGTCTTTCTTCAGTCGAAAAGAAATTAAGGTTTTTGATGAAAACATTCCAGGATTTTTTCCATATAATGGACTTCAATGGGAACCAAACGGTTCAAGGTCCAAATGAGATTTCAGCGTAAACTGTTCAAAGGGCTTTAAACGATTCCAGACGATGAATAAGGGTCTTATCAAGCGAAACGATCGCTCATTTAAAAAAAAAATAACAAAGTTTAAGTTTTATAAGCACAAATGCTCGCCTTGCTCTGTTCTGTGATGCGCGTTCGTGACTCTCCTGTTCGAACTCGTTCATCAAAATGAATGAATCTCTTTCATGTCATTTGTTTCATTCAACGTACGAAATGAACGAATTGACTCGGGAAAATATTCGTTCGTTTGATGAACAGGGGAGTCACGAACATGAATTTTAAAGTGAACTACTCCTTTAAGTAATGTATTAAAGATAACTAATGTTAACAAATGAGACCTTATTGTAAAGTGTTACCCAATATGGTAATTCATGCCGTAATGCAAAACACTATGAGAGTTGAGGATCATTTCATAAATAACCATGATAAACTGAACTCACCTCCGCTGCACTTTTCTTTCTCTTCTTCTGTTTCTTCTCTTTAGCAGTGTGTGTGTTTGTTTCCTCTTCCTGTGGCGTCACCGGATCCGATTCAGGAACAACAGCTTCAGAGTCCTGCTAATTCAAAACATCCATTAAAAGATATATTCACAGCATTTAAATAAAATTAGCTCACAAACAGAAATTCAATTCCTCCAGAGAACCAAATGGATTAGAGAGGACTAGAAAATATGTGTCGTTCTAACAAAGAGATTTGTGAATTTTACAGCACAAGTATTCAGCATCAACTCTCTTCACAGCATTGCCCATCATCCCAAAACGTTGACAAACATAAAATATAAAAGCAAAGTATTTCTCATTACCTTCTGTTTCTTTTTCTTTTTCTTCTTTGTGTGATCTTCCTGCTTGTGTGTTTCCTCCATCGGTTCAGTATCCTGCGGTTCCTCTGTGATGCTTTCTACAGGAACACACACCTGAAAACATACACACAAGATATCATATATATATAACTATTCTATCATGTCTATTAAACTTTCAACAAGCATGATCACAGTGATCCACAGAGAGCAGAAGTCATCTATTGATATAAAACGGCTTCACAAATATATTTTTAACCGCATCAGTATCAATAACAACAAGAGACTGATAAAAAATATATTTATTTGTTATTGAATCATTTAGGAGAATTGTTCAAAAACACTGATTCGTCAAGTAATGATAGAAGTGAAGTCTTTATGAGCGACTCATTGAATCATTCATTCAAACTAATTTTTTTTTTTAAATCTATGGTTAATCTAATTAATTAAAAATATTTAAATAGACTGCAGCAGTCACTTTTTTCATTTTTTACATTTTATTTTGTATAGTTGTCAAAATCGTGACTTCGGTTTTAAACAAACTAAATTGTGACACTCAATTTCTCCAGAATCACACAGCTCTAATATATATATATATATATATATACACAAACTACATGGTGATTTTAACTCAAATAGATGGATTTTTTTCAGCTTGTAAAAATGTAAATTTACATTTAGCCTTTCAGATAAAACGTGTATATTCATATGCAGTCATATAATTCATTCTTTTAAAAAGGAAAATCACTTTCACTCACTTCAGACTTCTTTTTCTTCTTCTTGCGTTTATTCTCTTCATGATCTCCATTTAATTGTGTACTTGTTTCAAGCACCTTTCATTTAAAAAAAATAAATAATAAATAAATAAATATAGTCAGTGCACAATTTTAAATGCAGAGTAAGCTTTTAACATTAATTTTAACAATCATATCAATAACATTTGTTATTAGATTAAATCATAGAGTACTATTATAACCACACACCTCATCCTCAGCTTTTCTTTTCTTATTTTTCTTCTTTCCATTCATCTCCTCCTTTTTCTCATCTTGTACATATGTGATTTCTTCTACATTGAGTTTGAGTTTCTTTTTTTTGTGAGAATCGGACTGAAGCACAAGACCTTGACTCTTCGTCATAGCGCCAGATCTGAGTGGGGAAAAATAGCACATGTTGGGAACTGATTACAACATACACTACTGTACTAAAGTGTATAATTTGTCACAAAAGTGACAGACACTTATGATGTTACAAAATATTTTTATTTTCAAATATACACTGCTCTTTTGAACTTTCTATTCAGCAAACAATACTGAAAAAATGATTTCCACTAAAATATTAAGCAGCACAACTGCATTCAACGTTATTATAATAACCAGAAATGTGCAGCCAATCAGCATATTAGAATGATTTCTGAAGGATCATGTGACACTGTAGACTGAACATTTCAAGTTATTTTTAAAACCAGTTAATAAATTAATAAATTAACCCAAACATATATCAAACTGGAAGTAAAAATAATCAGAAACAGCTTCTTATGATTTAATCGTATAGTAAGATAGCCACAGAAATGCATTCATGCACTTTAAATCACCCAGGACACACAAACTAATCTACTAGTCGAAGAAAGTTAATAAATGCGTGTTACGTTTACTTACGAGCCAAACAAAAAATCGTCCTCAGATTCACGTGTGAACGGGCAGCGCCATGAAAACGGAATCCAGACCACGAATGATGACGTTCGAGGAGCTATGAAAATATGCATTGCTGATTGGTTGATACTCAGAGCTCTGGGTAATGTAGTCCTTAAATGCGATGTCACGTAATCTATCTTAGAATACACTTTATTACATTTACACTTTATTTGAATACGATAATTGTTTTATAATAGTTGTATTATGAGCAGTTCAATCGTATATGTGAAGTGATTAGACAAACTATTCTCTAAAAACGTCTAAAAATCAAAGCGGAACTACATTTCAGTTAACTGTAGTTGCCTCCCGGGTGGAATTTGACAGAAGCACACTCGTTACATGACCTGAGAGAGAGAAACGTCTGATATGAAGAAGCTGTCAAGATGTCCAAAGCCTGCTTTAATTTATCACGAATTGCTTTAAGTCACAATGTTTTTACAAGCCGAAGGAATGTGAATTTAAGGCAAGTGAAAATTTTGTCCTTGTATAGATTATGAAAAATAGCTATTCACCTCGATAGGGTTTGTGCTGACAAATTGCTCTGCGTTGGACATTAATAAAGACAAACATTTAGTTAATTGAGACATTTTTTGTTGATCATTGAAATGTATTTCTTAAACGGATTTCTTTTTTGATAAAGACTCTTTTATGATCTCTTAAATCGAGCTGACCTTGGCTAGAGGGATATCAATGTATACATTACTGTATTTGACAAAAAATAAACACTGGATGTATTTAGAATATCTCTAATGGTGTTATATTTAAGCAGATCTATAAAAGTAATGTTTTATTAAATATTCATTACTTTTCTACCTGTAGACCATGTGCCACAAGGATGCTGTCCATTACATCACAGCTTTATGCAAAGTCCAGAAAACCTCCAGATGATGATGATGATGATGAAGTAATAAACCAGCCCATTAAGTTCTCGACCAGCAAAGCCAGTCACCGAACCTGGAATGTGGACCGTTCCCTGGGCAGCAATTACGAGCGTCCCTGGTGGAAAGTTTTACCCATCAGCCTCTTTGGAGTGGGCTTCCTCCTCTGGTGCGCATTCAGGAAAGAGAGCGAGATAGACAAGTCTCTGGAGAAAAACCTGTATGAACATTTACCAGGACTGCTGTCCGATGAAGAACAGGAGGAAGTCGACGTCAAAAACAAACCATCATAGTGGCTTAAGAGACAGTTTGCATTTGTGATATTTATCATTTATTAATGCCTTCAGAAGTAAAAATGCATTCTCCAAAGAGTCGCAAATCAAACTCGTTGAAATGTCAATTGGACCGTCCACACTACGAGTGCAGTGAGGTTTATATTGGAAAGCCTAATGGGGAAACTTCTGAATTGCAATTGTGATGTGATTGCTGATTTAGGGATCAGGGAAACTCATGAGTATGGGTCTTCATAAAGTAATGATCTGTATAACAAATACTTGATCTGTATAATAAAGTGTGTAAACTTGTTTAAGTGGTTGGTTTTTACTCTAAGGCCTGGTTTCACAGACAGGGTTTGGATTACACCAGGATTAAGCTTTAATTCAAGACATTAAGTAGCTATCATAAAGGTGCTTTAGAAGAAACACTGGTGTGCATCTTGACAAAACAATGGCTCTGACTTTACAAGTTGTACAAATCGGTGAAACCTGGGGTAAATGACTTTGAAATTTAAATTAAAACAAGACTTTAAACTCATTTAGTGAATCTTAATGAAATAAGGGACATCTTTTTTACTGGACAACATGGTCAAATCTACAAGGTAGCATTTTCAGGTCCTAAAAGGCATCAAGTAAACTCATATTAATGTTAAAAATTGAACTTTTTGGACATTAGCATCTAGATCACTGAATTGCAACTTTTGTAATGACACTTGAACAAGCCATTCAAGGTCAACAGGATTACTAGAAAAGATATAGAAAGGAGAGTTCGGGTTGGAGCTAAACTCTGCAGGACAGTGACCCTACAAGACAAGTTCTTCTTGATCTAGATGCCTCAAACTTCAAAAATATGACAAAAGTAAAAAAAGAATAAAGACAAAATGAACAGCAGCAAGACTGAGGTAGTGGAAAGTTTATTTACAACCAAATGGCCACAATAGAAGAGAAACCCAATATAATAACGATAGAAATCAAATGGACATTCTAATTCATCATGAAGCATGCAGACTAGGCAGAGGTATATGAAAGTCTAAAATACAAACTTTAAAACCCTGAGGAGCTCCCGGAATGTTCTGACGCTGCCCCCCCTACTATCAACTTTAACCACAAGATACCCCTCCCCTACCGCAACTACCAAAAAATACAAAAAATAAACTTAAACTACACAGGCATTTATAGTCAAGAGCGCAAGAACCCCAATGCCCCTCCCACCCGACCCACCCACACGACAAACCCATCCCTCATATCTTCCTCCACACACAAAAATAGAGCTGAGTAAATGGTAAAGTTTAAGCACGCTCCCCACGGATTCGACGAGCCAACTGGATGTCTTTGGGCATGATGGTGACACGTTTGGCATGGATGGCGCACAAGTTAGTGTCCTCAAACAGACCCACCAGGTATGCTTCGCTTGCCTCCTACAATTCAAAGACAACATTATTAGGAGAGACCTAAAATAAATGAAGTATTAAGTCAGGAAGTGTCAGTATGAGCTAAAACTACAAAAAATCTAAATATTTGGTTATTTTAATAAATAACCATCTTAGTTATGCAAAGCCCCAAAATACTTTATTGGGCAGAAATGGATTACAGGGGCGGTCAAATATTGTGGACAATAGGGGACAAAAAGAATTCGATCTGCTGCATTAGGTAGGGAACTAGAAGACGCACCTGCAGGGCACCAATGGCAGCGCTCTGGAAACGCAAGTCGGTCTTGAAATCCTGAGCAATCTCACGAACCAGACGCTGGAATGGAAGCTTGCGGATCAGCAACTCGGTGGACTTCTGGTACCGACGGATCTCACGAAGAGCCACAGTTCCTGGACTGGGGGAAAGGCAGAAAAAAAAATGCATTTAGTAGCTGTTGGGATTTAAAAAAAAGAAAAGAAATGCAAAGTACCATTATACACACAATATGCATGTAAAAAATGATATGCAATTTACATGTACATAATATGCACTGCATACATAAAGCATACATGCATATACAAACAATATATTACACAAAGCATGCAAGTGTACACACATGCATGATCATGAATCACATGCTTGCATAGTGAAATGTGAATAAATGTACATGCATTTAAATGCATACAAAAAATAATCTATATAAAGGTTTGCATATACATGGACGTGCATATATAGACCATTTTGCAAGATGTAAACACTGGTCCAGAAGCACTTCCTGATTCAGTTTTTTTAACACTACATAAAAGCTGGAATAAAATACAACCAACAGAACATATAAAACTGAATCAAAAAGTTAAACAAATATCTTTAAGATGTTTTCTTTACATGTGAAATAAAGAAAAGTTACAAACTAAAACAGGAAGTGTTTCTGGACCAGTGTTTACATCTTGCAAAATAGTCTATAAACAATTTCTGTTTCTCACCGGTATCTGTGGGGCTTCTTGACTCCACCTGTAGACGGCGCACTCTTCCTGGCCGCTTTGGTGGCCAGCTGCTTCCTGGGGGCTTTACCACCGGTGGATTTACGGGCAGTCTGTTTAGTACGTGCCATGGCACTCTAATGTAGCGGTCTAAAGAGAAACAAGAGCCGATAAGAACAACAGCCGCGGGGGATTCCGCATGCAGTGACGTCATCAACAACAAAACTCCTTCGGTCCCGCCCATAATGAAGTCATGCAATAAAGAACTTTATGTTTAGGAAAGGACCATAGCAAATTAGCAATACCCTATATGCTAATGTACAACCTGGTGGCGCCATTTAGGAGATCAAACATAACCGTGTACCTTAAAGCTGGCTAAATAAAAAAAAGTATGATTTTATAAACGTGCGGATTTTAAGAATTGATTTGTGTGTAAAGTAACTTGGATAAATGGGTAGAAACGCGTGTTGTAGCGAAACAATAAACTGAACAACTCACAGTGGGACACTGGGTCACACACGCACACACATAACCAAGTCCCATTCAACGCACACACACATTGCCTGAAGGCAAATATCTTCAACGGTAGTCGGTTTCATTCAACCATTCAGCAACTAGTACTACAAATACGCCATGTCCGCTTAAATTATAGCGAAAGAGATGAGAAACAACCGGCAAATTGAAATGTAGAAGCTCGGATTTATGCAGTAGTGAAGTCCACCATCTCAGGATGAGACACAGACACGTTTCTGCCTTTATGTGTAACATGGCGCCCAAGAACACCAATTATAGCCTTCTCTTTGTCTACACCGACAATTCAGAAACTCCATATAAAAGTGTTTAAAAGAAAAACGACACGTGTTGTTAGATTACGTACTAAAAGCACATACTTAATGTTAAAATATCGAAAAACTTCTAAACTAAAGCACAAGTAAATATGAACTCACGCTCGTTAGCTTAGCTCGTTGCTACCGCGACAAAAATTATCTAAAACCGCCGCTTGCGAATTCAAATACCGAAAACAGACTGAAAGATGACCGGTGTTCTAAAAAATTATATACATATAATCTTTAGAGTGTTAAATTCACGATACGATCGGTGATTTTTAGTTAAATACCGAATGTAAACGATACTTACGATTTTTTGTTTCGGTTAATCCGTCAAACCCAAAACAAGGAACGTCGGTCACGCGCAACGCAGCTTCCCTATATTTATACAGGCACTGACGTCTGTGCGCGCGTTAAGCCACGCCCACTCCGCCTCTCATTGGCTGAAGGGCCGAGGGGGAGATTTTACCCTTCTTTAGTATTTATTTATAATAGTTATAGCGCGATTTTGATGTACATGTTAAAATACGTTTCGGTTTGTTTCTGCAGATGAATTGAGGTTGTTTAAATGGTTAACTGTTTCCAATGGCTTCATGACTGTTGATAAAAATCTTCGTGAAACATCGGGGGTTTAAAAAGCTTTTCATTTCTAGTCCTGCAGTCGTCGATTAGGCTACATAACCACTTTGTAAGAAAAAAACGTCCCTTACGGTTCATTTTAATAATAACTACTACAAAATGTTATTGATACATTAATGCAACAATCGTTGCCCTGAAAACAATGAAGTTAAATGCTTTTGAGATAATCTAGTTTTTTAGTGCAGTCTTTGTGTTACCATTGCAAATTATCTCACGCTGCAGTAGGAACCTTTAGAATAGCGAATTTGTTATCGGCGGAACCCTTTGATTGATGCGCACATATGTGAATTTAACTCACGAGAAGCTCAAATTTGTAAAATTCAGAACAGAAGTAATATTACCTGACTTTGTCACATTACTGTTCGATTTTTTTTTCCTTAAGTGCTGCACACTTGATAGTTGACCGTTTGTGTATAGACTACGAATTTGGGTTTCAGAAGATTCAAACTCCAGCTATGACAGAGGAGTCAAATGGAACAGGTATGATTTCCATAAACCATTCAAGGGGAATTCATTGAATATACGCGTAATTTTGACTACTTTTGTTTTATTTTATTAAACAATATATGGCTTAGTAACATCCAGATAAATCCTCTCAATTTAAATATGCTTTCCAGGAACACCCAGAATGCTGGGAAATGAGAAAAGCACGGATGGTAAGAGTGGAGAGGCGGATTCTGACACCGTGGTGGACCCCAAAACAGCAGCCCAAAGCTCTGAGGCTCCTGCCTGTGCTAAAAAACACAAGAAGAAGAAGAAAAAACAGCCGCTGACGGGAAAGACAGTCAGCAGAAAGGAATAAAAAGCACAGCTGAGGAAACATCTAAACAAGAGTCCACAGAATTAGTAAGCACAAATTGCATGCTTTTAAAATCAAGGACCACGTAGAAAACAAAACAAAAATGTACATTAAATATTTACATATACTTCATATATACTTTATTTATCAGTGTGTTTGCATGAATAAGCTGTTGCAAAGCAATAAGTTGAGCTTATAACTGTGTGTGTATTAGACTCCCGATGAGCAGCTGAATCGAGAGCTGGACTGGTGCATCGAACAGCTCGAGCTGGGCCTGAGAACTCAAAAAACCTCCAGCAAACAAAGTGAGTGTGACTGTCAACACTACAAATACAACATATATATATATATATATACACTTAAACAAACTCTGGACAAATATACTGGACCTCTCTCTATGCATATGCTGCGTGAACACTTTTTACGGTAATTACGATATGGCGTTAACACACCTTTATGTCTCCGTTCAGGGGAAGAAGCAAGTCGTGCTCTGAAGACTTTACGAAGCTCCAAAGCTCCTTTGGTGAAGAAGAGGCAGGTAATGCGAGCGATCTCAGGGGACTACAGGAAGAAGATCGAGGAGGAAAGAGCCAGACAGTTCAAGCTCATTCAGTCATGTAAGGCAGCAGCATAAATCTACATTTATATATGTATACCTTTTTTACAACAGGGGTTTTCAATATTTTACATGCCCAACCCAAATATCCTTGTGTGAGGGACCCAGATATTTTTAAATGTTTAAAGGCCTAATTTAAATATTTAGTTTCTATTATGTGTTTTATCTGTTTACTGTGCTGTTGGTTATTATTTATTTCACCATTTACTATTTATTTACTTTAACAGGGTTGCCAACCCCTTTTAAAATACATCAAGGAGCAAAGCGGACACTGACAATTTGCTGATAGAGAAGACAGAGTAGTTTATTTTTTTAAACAATAAATGTGCTCTTTAATTGTGTTGTGAGAGATTGCTGTAGTGGCCATCTCTTCCTCCTTTCTATAATTATAGCACAAAATAAACATGAACATAAGAAGGTATTCTAAAAGAAACTACAACTTTTTGAAATGTCTCATGTATTCGCTCAGCCAGTGTTTCAGCGCCAGGAAAAGCCACTCAGTGTCCATAGTATGTTAGAAAGATTAGATAGAAATATGAACTCTAGAAAGGAGCATTTTGCAAAAAACAACGCACTATATTACATTCCTTGTATCACTAAAAGGTTATTAATATAACGTTATTATTATAAAAACTGCCTCTGCAATTGTATGCAAATCTGTTAAAGGGACCCAAAAAAGAAAATTCTTTCATCATATCATATTTTTACCTGATATACAGTACCGAAATGAAATTTAATCTGATTGAAATCGAGATCGGAATCAAATCACAAGCTTACGAATCATATCAAATTGTGAAATTTGTATCAATATTATAATTCTCACTCTAAGCTGAACTCAGAAGTTGGCAGCTCTGCTTTAATAGTTTTGTATTTATTTGAAGCATTTTTTTCCCCTTCAATTTTACACGTTTTTTTTTTCACCTAAACTTGTTCACTAACCCCTCCCCCTAAACCCCTGACCTTATGCATATGGTATAAAATTGCTGTCTCTTTCCCCATAGCAATGACCTCTGCCCGGTCACCACGGTCTCTGAGTGCAAACCAGTGTTCCACCGGAGAGCCGAGAGGAACACACAACCCACTGACAAAACAGACCAATCTCAAGAGACGCACACCCTGCAAGGGCCCCAGGAGACAACTGAACACACAGAGACTGATCACGGCACAAAACCTTTTGTTTTCACTAAAACACGTCAAGAGTTTTGCTTCAACTTCAGTTTGTGACTGTACCCATTAACATCAACCAGCAGTATTTGTGCCTTAAGTTGACATTCTATTGCATGATTTTACTGTACATTCTTTATGAAATTCATTTAGAATAAAATATTGCATATTTTACATTGTACAATGTTCAAGCCTTTGAAAACAACTAATGTTACAGAGTAAATGCAGTTAAAGTGAATACAACCAAAGCTTTGATCACTTTGTGTGAAAAGTTGAATACTATATATTTTTATATAATTTATTATATGTACCCTTTTTCTTTAACAAATGTTATTATATCGGTGGCAGCGTGTTGACGTAGTCTAAGATGCTATGGCAACGTATTTAAAATGCTTAACATTTCATTAGAATTATCAGCTTATTTTAAGGGCGTTATTTCACCTCAAGTTCATGAAAATAAAGCTTAATTTTATGTGTAAAATTCCTATTTTAGTTTATCTTATGAACAAACGTGTTGCTGTTTTTCAGTGCTGGAGCGGAGGCTCATGGGACATGTAGTTCTACATTGCGCATTTGTCGTTCAAACTGTATTATGTGAAACCAACAAAAGACTACAACTCCCTGTGTGCTCCATACTACATATTCAACAGCACTGCCCGGTTGGAACACAAAACTTCCTTTGAGTTGCCGCTGCTGTTGCGATTTCTGATAAAAGCTTTGAAAATCGCCACTTGAAAAATTATTTCAAGGTTTGTAAGCTTTTAATTTATTTTCGGGTGCTTTATTTAGTTGCAGGGTTATGCGTTTATGGCATTAACTTGTTGTAAAAAGTTGTCATTTACATATTAAGTGTTTGGTTTAACTAACTTTTTGCATCATAACCATGCTATAAACATAATATGAATATGGATAATAGTATGAGATAGCACAATTGAGTTGAATTGATGCACGGACATTAGCCCTTTAAATGTCCGAGACCAAATAACGGAATATAATTTTGCTGAATAAACTGCAAATTATTTGGAGAGAGTTAAAATAAATAATAACATAAAATACATACTGTAAATATCAAAGCTCGTTTGCAGAGGAGTATGTCTGAACTGAGCGACGAGGCCAGCAGTGAGTCGGATCAGCTGGGCGCGAGTCTGTCCGTGTGGCTAGCGGACGGTGGAGATGCCCTGATCGGCCCGGAGGAGCTCAACGTGCCGCTGGATCTCCACACCGCCTGCTCTATCGGACAGTATGATGTGGTGACCGAATGCATTCGCAGGTGATTTAAAACACGTTTAATGTTCACATGTTGCCTAGCTGGCAGTCTTTTGCCATGTTTTAGTCCAGTGTGCTTGAAGAAATAGTTTTTAAAGATACAGTCCTGGTTCTCTGAACGTAAGTTTGTGATTGTAAAAAAATAAACCCCCAAAATACATTAATGTTAAAACCATAGACTGAAAAAACCCACAAATGATTTATCCTTGAACATTATTTTTTTATACGTGCCCTCGTAATATTTAATCTAAATAAGTCCCCTCCCTCTTGCAGCAACATTTCTTCTCTGATGACGTTTTTACTGGCGCGAGGGCGGGGAAACCTGTCACTCACATGTGATCCACCAATAGCAAACCACAACCATCCAATCCATTCCCCCATGGACCCGCCCTATTTTTTCTCTTTCAACAAGCCGTTTCACTCTGATATATGTCACAAAAGGGAAGAAAAGACGATCAAGACTTTAATCAAAATAGATTTAAAAGAAAAGTTTCTGTTGTCAGAACGTTTTTGGTTGTAAAAACAGGGTTTCTGTGGATCTTAAAAAGTCTTAAGGTCTTTTAAGGTCTTAAAAAAAGAAAACAAAACTGGAGGAAGACAAAAAAACAACAACCTTTTTTTAGCCATGAGATCAGAAGATACAGTGATTCAAGCTATGTCTTTGTAAAATGAATGGACAAGTAATTGACATCTGTTGGAAGTTTTATTTTCAGACTCTGAAGTGTTGCTAAAACAACTTGTGTTTCTACCTAGACATTTATATATGACGCATGTATTTTGTTCCCTAAAATCTATTTACATTTTATTTACTTGATCTTAAAAATATATTTAAAAAAATCTTAAATGTACCTTCCTAGAATGTCAACATTAATGCTAATACTTACATTACTGCTGTTATTCAGAATCTATTCAGTACATACAAACATCGCACTGTTATCATGCCCTAATAAGGTATTCATGATACCCGATGACTCATTTACCAAACGTTAAAGACTTATTTACAAAATCTCCACTCGTTATTGTTTCCAAATGTTATTTCAGGGGAGAAGTGGATTTGGATGGGAAGAACATTGGTGGTTGGACTCCTCTGATGTACGCAGCGTATATCGGTCACGATAGCATCGCTAACCTTCTGCTGGAGACGGGCATCAGTGTCAACACCACCACGTCTAAAGGACTCACACCCCTGATGCTCGCCGCCAGCTGTGGAAACGAGAGCATCGCCCACTTCCTACTGCAGGTGAGACTCGTGTTGAGAATTTGTTAACCGTGACGAAGAAAAGTTGTTTCTTTCTCAAAGCCTGTCCAATACCGGGCGAAACGTTCTCTCTGTACAGCACGGAGCGCAGCTTGAATGTAAGGATGTGCACGGATGGACAGCTTTGCTGCACAGCACGGCTAATGGACATCAGCAGATGGTCAAATTCTTATTAGAGCATCACGCCAATGCAAATGTCAAGTGAGTAACATTTGCATTCATTAATACCATCCTACAAGGAAACAAGCTGTATACTTTGCACAATATCCGCATTTTCTTCGAGAGCCATTAAATCTTTGACCTCTGTCGTCACAGAGAGCCGCTGTCAGGATTCACACCACTCATGGAAGCAGCGGCGTCGGGCCATGAAATCATCGTTCAGTACCTCCTCAACCATGCAAGTGTGACTTTACTATGAAATATGAAATATTTAAAATATTGTATGAATGAATGAAAAAGTTTTATTTCGAACATGTAGAAAAAAACAAACAAAAAAACTATTTTTAACTTACACATGTCCGAAAAGGAGTAGGAAGAAGCATAAGCTTATTCAATCCTACCCCATCTTCAACTAATTATAACTAATTAACCGGTTGACCGAACATTTTGATTTATTTGTCTCTACACACCAAAAAAAAAAAAAAACAACATACATATCTACCTATGTTTATATACATCTTCAATAAAAAATTACATTAGAAAAAAAAAATTAATAAAAAGAGATAAAAAAATGCAAAAATATAAATAAACTATCACCTAACTAATAATCTTCATGCTCTCTATACCTTGCAAATATCATATTTTTACAATGCTTTTTAAACCGAGTACATTGTTTAAGTACTGAACTTAACTTCACTCCACATATCGAAACACAAAAACTTTTTAAAATAAAAAAAAAAAGTATTTTTTTTATAGTAATTTTGGTTGTGCGTTAGCCTGACAAAGAAAACTCTATGCATCCATTACGAAAGTTTATCTTTTTTCAGAAGCAAAATTCCCCCTAATCCAAATCTACTTTTTAGTATGAACTGTCCCTCTAATTATTCTTCGCGTAGTTTTAAAAATGTATACTATATTGAACAAAAATTCGAATCTCAATTCAGTTATGAGTCTGTACTAAATGATGTCAGAGCATATTTTACACCCCTTATATAAATATAATAAATGCGTGTATGTTTTTCAGTATTTCTGATTCTGTGTGTGATTCAGGGTGTGCGAACGGAGGAGAGGAACATCAAGGGAGAAACGGCGAGAGCTCTGGCCATGCTGTACGGACACACTAAAATCGCCAGCCTCATCGACATGCACGTCATGAGAGCCAAATCATGTCAGTCACACACCTTAGCGTTTATAATCTTCCTTTTTTATCATACATGCAGAGAATAACACAACCTAACCTCTCTCTGTAGCTCAGTATGAGGAGCTGAGTTCCTCTGAAGAAGAAAGTTCGAGTCCTCGAGTGCGGTCGGCTCGCAGCAGAACCAGAGGACCCAGCATTCACGACGGCCCACAAGCCATCGCACGCTTCAGGGTCGGCTCAAAACACGGTACTCACTACTGTGTATATATGTGCTCAAAAGTTTGGGGTCGGAAAGATTTTGTTTTTGTTTTTTAAAAGACACCTCCTCTGCTCACTGCATTTATTTGATCAAAAAATTATTGTGGAATATTATTACCATTTAAAAGAACCGTTTTCTATTTGAATATATGTTAAAATTAGGGCTGTCAAACGATTAATCGCATCCAAAATAAAAGTTTGTGTTTACATAATATTTGTGGGTGCTCTGTGTATAATTATTTATATATATATATAAAAACACACACATGCATGTATTATTAAGAAATATTTTCATGTATATACTGTATATAGATTTATATATAATTTATATTCTATATAAATATTTTATATTCATATTTTTTCTTAAATATACATGCATGTGTGTGTATTTATATATATATATATATACAAAATAATTATACACAGTACACACACATATTATGTAAACACAAACTTTTATTTTGGATGCGATTAATCACGATTAATCGTTTGACAGCGCTAGTTAAAGTGTAATTTACTCCTGTGATGTAAAGGTGAATTTTCAACATCATTACTTCATATGTAGAAACATTTATGATTATTATCGATGTTGAAAACTGTTGTGCTGCTTCATATGTCGCTGGAAAAAGTGATATATTTTCTTTCAGAATTCTTTGATGAATAGGATTAAAAGTTCAAAAGAAGTGTTTATTTCAAACAGAAATCTTTACTCCCGCGTTTGATCAGTTTCATGCATCCTTGCTAAACAAAAATATTAATTTTCTTTTAAAAAAAATCTAAACTTTTGAACAGTAGGGTTACAAATTTTGGGGTCTTTTAAACAACGAATCCTGAAAAAAAAAATCAGTCTACACAAAAATATGAATCAGCACAGTTGTTTTTGCAACATTGATAATAATCAGAGTTTCTTGAGCATCGATTCATCATATTAGAGTGATTTCTGAAGGATCATGTGACTTAAAGCCCGACCGATAAAGGATTTTGAAGGCCGATACCAATACAAATATTTGTTGGTTTTAAAATCCGATATATCGGCCGATATTTTTATTTTTTTTATTTCAAAAACGTGCAACAAAACATTAACAGATTTCCCTAACATTAGTTATTTGGAGTTATTTATGAGTTTTAACTAAAACATATGATAATGCATTTTAAAAAGAAACTTGTTTCTTTTATTGTCACAAAGGAACAGACCGATGATAGTGGCATTAGCTAGCTTTGTGGTTAGCTAGTCTATGATTAGCCATAATTTAGCAATGGATTACGTCATACTGCAAATTGTAAAACATACATTTTCAATATAACAGGCCAAGGAGAAACGATACGTCTCATTGCTATAACTGTCACGCGCTATTAAAGAAATACTTCAGTCACAGTCAAAAGTTAAAAGGACAGTCAGTCAACTACACTGTAACAACGTAACGTAACTATTACTAGCAATTTCCGGTTCACTCTCGGCTTATTTAACAGCAGCAAAACTGGACATGATAGTCACAAATTTTGTCATGCTTATTTGAGTTGAGAGGACTGATGGGGATGTTCTTTTAATTGTTATTCAAGCAATGTATGTCTCGTGACCAAATCAACGAGTGTTGCCAACAGGAACAGTGTAGAGTGCCCTCTGGTGGACAAACTATACAACTCCAACACTCATGAGATGGTTCAAGCGTGTTTCGTCCGTTTTTTTATTTATTTTTGAAATATTCATTTATCGGCCATTATAACTGCCGATACCGATAGTTTGGAAAATGTCTAATATCGGCCGATAATATCGGCCTGCCGATATATCGGTCTGGCTCTAATGTGACACTGAAGACTGGAGTATGGTGATAATTCAACACAGGAATAAATTATGTAAATAATAACTAACCTTTTGAAATATATTCAAATAGGAAACACCCTTGGTGAGCAGAAGAGACCTCTTTCAAAATCAAACGGTATGTTGTTACATTGCAGAGGTTCCTGTGACCGGATACATGACCTCACGTGAAGCTGGCGACCAGAGCGAGGGCATCTGCAATCGTGACGTCACTTCCCCCATCAACGAGCTCGACGGCCAGAGCAACAGCAGTCGAGGTGAGCGGTTCGGCGAGACGGTCATCATTCCCACCGGTGCATCCGCTCTAGTGTGATTCTGTTCCCACTGTTTGTGTAGACGAGCTGATCTTTGATAACGACATGCCCACCGTGAGGAGCAGCAGCAGCAGCAGTGAAGGCCTCTCTCATCTCCTCGGCCTCAGCAGAGAGGCGTCGCTGGAGAGCAACGAGGTCTGAACCCATCATGCATCACAACACGCATCTCCGACAAAGTGTTCACGAAACGTCTCGGTCATGTTTGCAGGACTCTGATCAAGCGAAGAGGAGCTGTCCACGTCGATCCAACAAACTCCAGCACTCCAAAGGCAGGATTCCCCAGAGCAGCTCAGGACACCGTGAGGCGCCGTCGTCCTCTGGACCTCCTCCATCATACACTGGACCCAAGGTGTGTGTGTGTGGGTGTTATGTGGCGATGTATTCCTGACCTCAGATGCACCAGTGAAGTGTGTGTATCATATGTGTCACAGGATCTAGCAGAGTTTCTGGAGCAGATCGGGTTCAGTAAGTACCTCCCCCTGCTGGAGGAGCAAGACATCGACCTGAGGATCTTCCTCACGCTCACGGAGAACGACCTCAAGGAAGTCGGCATCACGTGAGTCTGCCTTCACAGATTCAGCATGCCTTTTTTATTTATTTATTTTTATATTATTATTTATTTCATTTTTTTTATTCCAGCATCCCCATGTTCCTTTAGAGAAGGGATGGATGGAAATGAATGTGATTGATTCAACTTTACAATTTTTTTTATTCTATTACAATGTATTTTTTTTAAAAATTGGATTAAAATCATTTAAATTATTTATCATTATTTAATCGGATTTATTTAATTTAATAAAAAATAACTTATTTTAATATTGTAACAAATTTATTTAATTATTTTATATTTTGTGTTAATGTATTGTATCTCATTTAATTTTTATTAAATGTATCTGGTTTATTCAGATTAATTGTTATTTTATTAAAACTAGTTATGTTTTTTTTCATAGTCTGTTTGGTCCTAAGAGGAAGATGACATCAGCAATAGCCCGTTGGCATAGTAACGCCCGGCCGCCCAGTGATGCGCTAGAGCAGGCGTACGCCGACCAACTGGAGGCCGAGATGCAGGAAATGGCCATTCAGCTTCATAAGGTACTGACCGCATCACTTCCTTTCACGTGAGCCTATGCTATAAAATATATCCATTGAAACACGTTAAGATCAAAGCTTGCCATGCATACAAAACAGTGCCATAGGTTTTTCACGTACTAACTGCAAGTTTGCTTTAGTTATTTTGTGTGTGTGTGTAGCAATGTGTGGAGGTGGAGTCTCTACAGGCTCAGGTGTCTCAGGAGAAGGAGCTGCGTGCCGTGATGGAGGGATGTCTGATGGAGGAGAAGATGTCGTGGAAGAGTGTTCAAGCAGAACTGCGGGAGAACACACAGCGCGTTCAGACGCTGAGCGGGAAACTACACACTCTACGCAACATTCACACACAGCTCACGCAGGAAGACGCTCGAGCGGCGGGGAAAGGTGTGCAGAACCTGACAATGGTTTTAATGAGTAAAGCTATAAATCTACTGGAAATTCACGAACTACTTCCCAGAATGCATTGCGAATAATGCAATCTTGTAAAAATGTTATTGAAATCACAGCAACTTTTGATTTTATAGAGTATGTTGTATGCGAAAAATATTTGCATGCAAAATGACTAATAATTTTGTTTCTCTATTTATATATATAAATAAAAAAAAATACAATTATTTATTAATATATATTTTTAATGGCCTGCTAGAGTTTTGCTTGAATCTGTTTTCTGTTTTTTATTTTGCAAATGAGAAAAAAGGTGAAATCATTGGTGGTTTTGCTTGCAATAAATAAATAAATAATAGTAAATTGGATAAACAATATAACGACACAATGTTAAAGGAGTAGTTCACTTTTAAAAAAACATTTGCTGATAATTTATTCACCCCCATGTCATCCAAGATGTCCATGTCTTTCTTTCTTCAGTCAAAAAGAAATTAAGGTTTTTGATGAAAACATTCCAAGATATAATGGACTTCATTGGGAACCAAACGGTTCAAGGTCCAAACGAGAGTTTCAGTGCAGCTTCAAAGGGCTTTAAACAATTCCAGACGATGAAAAAGGGTCTTATCTAGCGAAACGATCGAAAAATGAAAAATGAACGAATCTTTTTCCGAGTCAATTTGTTCATTTCGTTTGTTGAATGAACCAAATGACTCGAAAAAAGATTTGTTCATTTTGATGTCTGAAGTCTTTTAATAACTGCTGTGATGTGTGTGTGTGTCGTAGGCGACGGGTTAATGTGCTCTCAGCTGCTGTCTAACATGGAGTCTCACATGGCAGAGCTCGGTAAGACTTCTGCATGCGTGTGTGTTTCCTTCACGTGGACGTGTGTATTCATATTGTGTGTGTGTCTCTGTCCAGCTGACAGTCTGAAGGAAGTTCTCCACAGTCTCCAGCGTCTGAGCGCTTCAGAGAAAAACACACACAACTGGGAAGATTCCTAGTGGCTGCCAATGGGTCAGTTACTCACACACACACACACACACACAGCCTCAACATTATGTGTGCATAAACATTTCTATGAAGCTTCAAGTGTACACAAACTGTTTTGACAGTATTCCTACAAGATTAAGAAATGAATACTTGTTCAGCAAGAATGCATGAAGTTGATCAAAAGTGACCGTACGTTACAAAAGATTTCGTTTTCAATAGGGCTGTGCAAAAATTAATTGCGATTAATCGCATCCAAAATAAAAGTCTGTGTTTACATAATATATTTGTGTGTGCTGTGTATAATTATTTTTTATATATATAAATACACACACATTCATGTATATATTTAAGAAAATGTGTTATTCATACATAAAATATTTATATTTATATAATATAGATTATGTATTTATATATATACAGAATTTAAGTGCAAATAATTCTTAAATATATACATGCATGCATAGGTATTTATATATACAAAATAATTATATACAGCACACATAAATATATTATGTAAACACAGACTTTTATTTTGGATGCGATTAATCGCAATTAATTTTTGCACACCCTAGTTTTCAAATAAATGCTGTTCTTTTGAACTTTCAATTCTTCAAAGAAACTGTTTTCAGCATTTATAATAATGATGCACGTTTCTTGATCAGCAAATCATCATATCAGAGTGATTTGTGAAGGATCATGTGACACTGAAGACTGGAGTAATGATGCTGAAAATTCAGCTTTGATCACAGGAATAAATTACAGTTTAAAATATATGGAAATAGGAAATGCTCATTTTAAATTATAATAATATTTCATATTTTTGACTGTATTGTATATACATGTATTGTACTGTATTATATATTATATTGTATATTTACTGTATTTTTGAACAAATAACTGCAGCCTTGAACATAAGAGACTTTCAAAAATATAAACAAATCGTACAAACTTTTAGAAGATTTTTTTTCTGAATTATTTTCTAACTGATCCGTTTATCCACGCAGGACACTCGCTTTTACCGACGGAGGGTGAAAAACCACCCTGAACACACACACACGGCCACGGGAACGGGCCTGAGAGAGCAACTCGTGTCGGTCCAGTGTGACATGAGTTCGGATGGAGATGACGGGGCGAACGAGGAGCAAAGACCATGAGCAGGGTGGCCAAAAAATGACAAGCAGGCGAGGACACTCTCACCTGTGCTCCAGTCACACGGTACATAACTGGTTCATGAGAACAGACCAATCGCAGACAGAGCGGAGCCAGAGAATCGTTCAGGAATTGGCCGATAAATACATGTGTGGACACTGCAAGCACAGGCGCTGTTTATTGCTGTACAACCAATCAAACCTCTTGATTAGATTTGTGTAATGCCTATTTAAAGCCTAATAATGTCTAATCTGTACTCTCAATTGTTTGTCTAATCTTATTCTCTTAAATCCTATGTATCCTCTAAGTGCACTCGTTGGGTCTCGACCTGCCATATTCAATGCAAAAATGCGCAGAAATTAATTTAGCTGGTGTTTCATCCAGGTTCATGGTTGTATCGCTGGAGCTACTGTCAGTTTGATATTTTTAAAGAGCTTATTGTCTTTAAAATGTGTAAAAATACTCAGAATATCAATTTTATGTGATCATTTTTTAAATGTAAATCAGCTTGTTTGTTATTATTTCTCAATGATGAAAAAGTCTGTAATTCTGTCACGTGAATGTACATAAATCGAGTCTGGAAATAAAGCATTTAAATCTGTAGGACATAACGCATAGTCTTTGCCTGAGCATCAAACCGTTTTGGAAGAACATATTAAAGAGAAAACACTTACCTCAGAGGAGGGGAAGTCAGTTGTGTAAAACATCTAGGATTCCTTGCATAACAAAATATGAAAGCAAATGGCACCTGCAAAAAAACAAAACGTCTTTTGCTGTTTTATATAGTCAGCTAACATTCAGATCGAATTCTGCCAAAGAAAGTCTTCATGTTCACAGAATGGCACTGATGACTAGCAAAGACTGGCTTTATTGCTTCTTGCTGTGTTGTTCATTTACACAATTTTCCAGAGTATTTTCAATGTGAATGAATCATATTCCCAAAGCCAAGTGCATCTTGAGTGTAATTCGATTACATACGTTAGATTGTGTTTATAAAACAACATCTCCAAAAACGAAAAACGCTTACTGATTGTTTTAGCACACATTCGAGTGAACAGATTCCCTTACATGTGTTTGATTATCATCAGATCATTAGTTATAGCAGGGGTGCCCACTCCTACTCCTGCTCCTGCACAGTTCATCTCCAACCCTAATCAAACACACCTGAAGCAACCAATTAAGGATTTCAGAATCACTTGAAAATTAAAGGCAGGTGTGTTTGATTAGGGTTGGAGATGAACTGTGCAGGGCAGTCATTGGGCACCCCTGAGTTACAGTTATTTCCCCTGTAAGTAGCAGCCTGATTGGTCCTGTGTTTCGGGTGTCCAGTGTTTTGTGTCAGGTGTATTCACACAGGTGTCCACAGCCGGCCGGACAGTGTTTGGACTGTTTCAGCCACTCCATCATGTGCTCCAGGTGTCCTCCGTGACTGCAGCCTTGACACCACACAAACAAGCCTTTGACCACGTGATGGCACACCGCACACACACTCGCACACTGGTGGCACCTGTGGAGGGTTACAACACACAACATAATATTATATATCGGTATATATATATATATATATATAAATTTATATATATATATATATACACGAGTCCACTTTGTAAATACATACAAAGAATATATTTAATTTTAAATTATAAATAAATACATTTATTATGCATTTATTTATTATATTTTATCTACTATCATATAATTTATTATTTAATTTTAAGCCATTTATTTCTATTTTAAATGATACATTTAAATATCATTTGGAAATTTTGTAAAAATTATATATATATATAGGATATTTTGTTGTTGCTATTTTTTTAATAAAGTAAATATAATAAAGTAGTAAATTATATAATCATAGATACAAACCAATACATAAATTTGTAATAATGTATACAAATTAAATGTATTAAAATGTTCATTTTATTTATTCATAAAACACTTTTAAACTACACTGAAAACCCAAAGTGTTAATATCAATATATTGGTATGCTATTATAGTTTTTTATAAATTTGTTTTAATTAAAATGTAATTTTTTTTTAAATTTAATTAAATTTTTTTTTAATTAAAATTTAATTTTAATTTATATTTTTTCTGTTTTAATTTTGGTAAAGGTTTTAGTAATTTTGCTGTGCATTTAAAAAAAATAAATATATTTTTTATTAGATTTTCTTTTAAAGAAAAATATGTCTAGTTAATGTTTATTTTATTTCAATTAATGAATATGATTTTTACGCTTTACGTTTTAGTTGAAAATACAAACAAAAAACATATTAACCGTACAACTGTCCAAAAAACAATATATGCATAACACAATATAACAATTTCCGTAGATATTGAATGAACTTGAAGTAAATGATTTTGAATTTGGCAAGGGGAAAGACAGATAAAAGTCAGCGCTTGGAGGCCGTACCTGTCACAGATCCAGCCCTTGTTGCTCATTGGTCGCTTGCAGTTGCTGCAGTTGATGTGTAAAGTGGTGGAGGTTTGATTGAGACACATGATGGCGCCGCACGTGCTCAGTTTGATCACCTCGTTGCTGACGTTCCACAGCTCGAAGCGCTGCAGGAGATCGATGTAGGACATGTACCAGTGTTCCTGAAACACACACACAAACATCACTACTATGGAAACTAATGAGACCAGAAACTGTCGGGTGACTGATATTCTTCTAAATACCAGAAAATCGTCTGAATGGATTCGAAAACGGTAAAACTCATCTGAGGGAGTTGTAAAATGAGCCTATTTCCAAAAAAAGAGGAGTATCCCTTTAAACACGCTCGGCCTCACCTGTGTGAGCTCGTCGATCTCCTTACGGATGCGATCTCCCAGCACGATCAGCACAGACACGGCCATCTGCACGTCGCCCTGCTCGGCGTAGTAACACAGCATCTCCTTCACTATGGGGCAGAAGAACTTGGGCGGCAGGTGGGGCGAGAAAAGCAGCTGCGAGACAGAAATGAGGCTGAAGGACTCCATGGGAGTCAGGCACATGCTCTCGGCCTCGCTGCCGCTCACGTGGGGCGACTCGGGCTTCTCCTGCACCGGCTCGGGCGCCGAGGGATGGTCCATGATCTCGTGGCGTAACGGGAACGCCTCCTGAGGGAGCAGGTACTCGGGCTCCTCGGCTGGAGAGACCCAGATCTCGTTTTTTCTCTTTATATGTCACGGAGCTGTGAGATGTGTTGAGGTGTTGACTGACCTGCCTGGTTATCGTGCTCCATGCTGTAGAGATCGTCGTCATCAAGTTCAGCATCTCCAAACAGATACTCCGCCTGACCCTCGCTGCCCTCCGTCTCCTCGTTCTCTGCACACAGGAACACAGATCTTCATCTACCGCTCTAGAGTTTGGAAGGTTTTCCTGGCAGCCAAAAATATGGGCCAAGAGACCGTGACGCATAATTACTAGAATCAAAATCTGAGCCCTTGAGCCAAACCATTGGCTCAAGTGTGTCTAACGGGTTAGTTCACCAAAAAGACCATTTCACAAGATGTAAACAACACTGGTCCAGAAGCACTTCCTGTTTCAGTTTGTAACTGTTTTCTTTATTTCAAATGTAAAGAAAACATCTTAAAGATGTTTGTTTAACTTTTTGATTCAGTTTTATATGTTCTGTTGGTTGTATTTTATCCCAGCTTTTATGTAGTGTTAAAAAACTGAAACAGGAAGTGCTTCTGTTGTTTACATCTTGTGAAATGGTTCCCAATCCCAACCTATATGACTGTATGTCTACTGTGGAACAAGTTTAGAAAAATGCCCATTTTCAGTTCAATCAAAGCATATAGGGATTGCTTTTGTAGAAGAACAGACTCAATTTCTCAAAGACAATCATAATGAAGGTTTGGGACAACATGAGTACATTCATCATGAAAATGCCCATGGAGTTTTAAAAATTGTATTAAAGGAGTAGTTCATTTTTAAAAAAACTTTTGCTGATAATTTACTCACCCCCATGTAATCCAAGATGTCCACGTCTTTCTTTCTTCAGTCGAAATGAAATGAAGGTTTTTGAGGGTTTTTTTCTCTCCATATAATGGACTTCATTGGGAACCAAATGATTCAAGGTCCAAATGAGAGTTTCAGAGCAGCTTTAAAGGGCTTTAAACAACACCAGATGATGAATAAGGGTCTTATCAAGCGAAACCATCGGCCATTTCAAAAATAAATAAAACAATTTTTTTATGAGCACAAATGCTCGCCTTGCTCTGTTCTGTGATGAGCGTTCGTGACTCTCCTGTTCAAACTCGTTCATCAAAATGAATGAATCTTTTTTCGAAAATCATTTCATTCAAATGACTCGAAAAAAGATTCGTTCATTTTGATGAAAAGTTTCGCGAGATAAGACCCTTCTTCATCGTCTGGTGTCGTTTAAAGCCCTTTGAAGCTGCACTGAAACTCTCATTTGGACCTTGAACCGTTTGGACCCCATTGAAGTCCATTATATGGAGAAAAAAACCCTCAAAAAAATTTTGTGATTATTATTAGCAAAAGTTTTTTTTTAAAGTGAACTACTCATTTAATTGACTTTTCTTTATTCTAAAAGGACGTGGTGATGGAAAAATGTATTTCAAAAATAGAAAAAAATGTATTTAAATGCTTTTGCATTCCGTTTCGCATTCACTCAAAACTTTGCACTCGCTCAAAAAACGTTTGAGTTCATTGCGACTAAGTGCAAAGTTTCTTTTAGTGCAAGTGAACACAAAGTATATTGGTAAAAGCAAAGGTTTCACGAGAAAGAACAAGATTTCTCAGGGAAACGCGAGGGTTGTGCAAACAAACGCAAAGTTTCTGAGGAAAGGCAAAGGTTTTGCAAGCCAAAGAAAAGTTTCTCTGGTAATCACAACATTTTGTAAACAAAAGCAAAGTTTCTTGGGGAAACACAATGGTTTTGAGTTTTGTGACTGTAAACACGATCTAACTGATTATAACTTAAACCAACAAACATGTGGCATTTGTTTGTCATTGCTTTCTCATCAGGATGCAGATGCTTCTCTGCATGTTATACGTCCGTCTCACCGTCATTGTTGTTGAGGTTGGTCTCCAAGCTGTGTATGTTGTCTTGTCTGTTTTCTTTGTTTCTCTCATTGAGAGCAGCGCTCATCTCCTTCATGCTGAAGCTGCAGTGCAGGATGCAGGGAAAAGACACAACTGAGCAACCACAAACAGGATAAGAGGTTACGATTCAGAGATCCTAAATCACAGGGTAATATCAGTACCTGTTGACGAGTGGAAGGTTTCCTGACTTATTCAGATTGTGATTGGTTGACAAGGACGGATTAGCCGGCTCGGAAAACATAATTCGCAGCATCGTCCATGTGGTGGATTCCTGTATAGCACACAAACACAAATCAAAACTCATTAAAAGTCCTCCAAAATGGAAACTGCAGGGGGTCCGTGAATAGATTATAATAATAATTAATAATAATATCTATTCTATTTATAATAATTAATAATATATTTATAATAATTGAAAATAACTAAAAGATTTTTTTTAATTAAAATATTATATATAAAATATATAAATATTTTAACGTGTAAATATTTGCTTCATTTGACTTTTAAAATAAAAAATGATCACTAAAAAACAAAACTTTAAATCCAAATGATGCACCGATATGAAACGTTTTATTTGTTGATCTGACATCAGAAACGTCAGAGCTGGTGAACATTATACATAATACGATTTATCAGCAATGACAAGTTTTTAACCAATAGAGAATATACTTTTACGCACTGTATAAGATTTTGTAACTTTTAAAATTTTTTACTTAGTTCATCTGTTTTTTTGTTTATGTCTTTTTGATGTAAAAAAAATCAAAGATCTTTTGAGACCTTTTTATTATTTTACGTGTCAGGGATATTTTTCTTTGACAATTTTTTACATTATTTTATTGCCACATTTGATATGTTAGAATCAATGTACCGTACAGTTGTTTCCCTCATTTGACCTCATTGTTAGAAAACTAAATAAAGTTTATAAAATAATAAAGATAAGAAAACCAACACTAGAGAACCTTGACCATGTTAAATTATTACGATATCAACGTAAAAACACTGACATAAAGGGCTTCAGCTGACAAAACAAGTTCAAACAATACCACAAATAAATCTGTGTGTACCTGCAGTCTGTTGAGTCTCTTGGCGACTTGAGCGTTGTGCTCACAGAGTTCGGCGAAGGGTTTTCCGCTAAGCAAGTAACTCTGTGCAGTGTTAATGAACCAGTCCATGCCGCCGATGCCCCCCGGCCCACTATCAAACACACTGAGCGCGCTGGAAACCTGCGCAAACTGCTCCGTCACGTCGGGCTTCTTGAAGAAGAAGATGGGGTACCGCCGATCGCCTCCTGGGTAGGTTTTACGTCCCACGTCCCCAACAGAAGGAGGAGCTATGAAGAAAGACAATAATGAGAAATCAATGTCAATAAACAATTTAAAGGTGCGGTCTGTAAGAATGACAACTAGTGGTCGACATAGGTACTGTCATCCAATTCAAAATCTCCGTTTCTCCCGCCACCTGCTCCTCAGACTGCACGGCGCTCACATGGGTTGCCAGTTTGAGCACACGCAACAGGAACGAGCGCGATAGACGATGAAAATTGGCAAATTGGCGGCAAATTGGCAAAAAACAAACATTACAGCACGGAAACGCACATTTCAAAGTAAAATAACTGGCTTTAAAGTGTTTTTCAGAGAAACGAGTATGCAAACGTATTTTTATGCTGTAGCCCTCAAACCGTATTCACTTTATAGCCCTTAATCCTGTAATTGTGGACAAATGTGGGCGCAGAGGAATTTTTATTTATTATAAATGTTATATCACTGTCTTCGATAAAGTTTTGTCTATCCATTTATGCTGTTTTTTTTTTATTTTGGGGGTATTTTTGAATTTATTTACTTCAAAAAGTACCATATTTTCTATGTAAATTTTGCTTATTTTTTTAAGTTTTATTTTTAATTTTTTTTTAACTACATTAAAATATCATTCCAATAAGTTCTTCGAGCTAAACGCTAAAGATGAAGTGAATTTTCTGTCACCTGGTGTCTTATTTTGGCTTATTTTAGAATGCTCTAAATGACAGTTTTTCCCATTCATTTCTATGGGTGCCCATTTTTGACCCAAATACAAGATTAAGGAGTTTTTTTCACCCACTTAACATTGTAGAATTGAGTCCAAAAAAATTGTGTGTGTTCAGAAGGCAAACTTAGGAAAAGTAGACAAGTCTTGTGCCGCTCAGATCAAGGGAAGTTTAAAAAAAAAAAAAAATCAAAACTACTTTGCCCACATTTGTCCAGAATATGGTTTTAGGGTTAGTAGAGTGAAAAAGTTACATACAGCACCTCACACAGGTCACTCACCGGTGATCAGACTCTCTTTGGCAGCAAACGCCAGGTCGCCGAACAACCCGAAACAGAGTCCTTCAGGGTTGGCGCGGTCGACGGGCCTGCTGGCGTCTTTAAACATGTGCTGGTAAAGCGTGCTGTCCTTGGACCCGGACAGAAGGAAGTAGGGGTCATGCTGGTGCCGCCACACGATTCCTGTAGTCACGTCTTTGTGCTCCTCGAACGTGGCGAAGGGGATGAATGGCCGCCGGACGTCCCACACGTAGATGTTGTGGTCCACCATCATGGAGCAGGTGGCTAAGTGAAAGCGCCTCTCCGGACGCCACTTCACCCTGGCCACCGACGCAATGGTCTGAACGCAGTAGATCTCCTTCACGCGATTGGTCGACATGTCCCAGACTTTCACCATCTTGTCACGTCCGCCTGTTGCGAGCCAACCCCTTCAAGAGACAGATGGGACTTATATATATATATATATATATATACACACAATAGATCCAAAAAGAGTGAGAAAGTTAATGTGTAACATTTTACCAATTGAAATTAAACAAAATAGTCATTTAAATTTTTTTTGACCTGTAACTGCAGCGAACCAAAGACAGCCTCAAAAACACGGTTTGAAATCGCTGGTGTTTCTGACCTCACAAACTACCAATTAGATCAACGTGTGATCGTCAACCAGTGGATCTCTGAGATGCTGTGAGTGAGTGGAGGCGGGGCTAATTTGCATACCGCGTATACAAAATGAAGCAAGGGTGTAGTTACATTCAAGCTATTTTAAAGGAAAAAAATGTTTAACCCTAAAACCGTATTCTGGACAAATGTGGGCAAAATAGTTTTGATTTATTTTTAAAAAATACTTCCCTTGATCTGAGCGGTACAAGACTTGTCTACTTTTCCTAAGTTTGCCTCCTGAACACACACAAGTTTTTTGGACTCAATTCTACAATGTTAAGTGGGTGAAAAAAAAACTCCTTAATCTGGTATTTGAGTCAAAAATGGGCACCCATAGAAATGAATGGGAAAAACTGTAATTTAGAGCATTCTAAAATAAGCCAAAATAAGACACCAGGTGACGGCAAAGTCACTTCATCTTTAGGTTTTAGCTCGAAGAACTTATTGAACTGATATTTTAATGTAGTTAAAAAAATATAAAAAATAAAACATAAAAATAAGCACAATTTACATAGAAAATATGGTACTTTTTGAAGTAAATAAATTAAAAAAATACCCCAAAATAAATAAAAAACACCATAAATGGATAGACAAAACTTTATCGAAGACAGTGATATAACATTTATAATAGGGCTGTGCAAAAATTAATTGCGATTAATCGCATCCAAAATAAAAGTCTGTGCTTACATAATATATTTGTGTGTGCTGTATATAATTATTTTGTACATATAAATACCTATGCATGCATGTATATATTTAAGAATTATTTGCGCTTAAATTCTGTATATATATATAAATGCATAATCTATATTATATAAATATAAATATTTTATATATTAAATAACACATTTTCTTAAATATATACATGCATGTGTGTGTATTTACATATACAACATAATTATATACAGCACACACAAATATATTATGTACACACAGACTTTTATTTTGGATCGATTAATCGCAATTAATTTTTGCACAGCCCTAATTTATAATAAATAAAAATTAGGATCACACCTGAGTCCTCCGTGCCCACATTTGTCCACAATTACAGGATTAAAAGCTATAAAGTGAATACAGTTTGAGGGCTACATATGTAATTTTGGTGATCAAAGATAAAATTATTGACAACAGGGACACACACACACACACCTGTCCTCAGGGTGCCAGTCACAGCAGAACACGGGGCCGGTGTGAGCGGTGAACATCCTCTCGTAGCGGTCGGGTCTGCGGATGTCCCACAGCTGCACGTTTCCATTCTCGAACGAGGCGGCAAACGTGAAATAATCCTTCATACTGAACTGCACATCTCTCACGCTCTCAGACTGACCTGCAAAAACACAGAATGATGTTCACATACAGCTTCCACATCTCTGCAGCATCCAATAACAATCTCAAATTGAAAATAGCTGCTCGGATGGCTTCGTAGTGTCATTTTTTTGGGTGAATTATAACTTTAAAAAATACCCAATGCTTCAGCTTGTGCAGATGTTGTAGAAAACGTTTGTATGTACCAGAAAACGTGCTGACGCTTTCCTTCTTTCGCAGGTCAAAACACTTCATGAAGCCGTCCTGAGAGCCGGACAGCAGCATGTTGACCTCGGTAGGGTGAAAGCAGACCTTGTTGACGGTGCGCTTGTGTTCTGTGAACAGTTGCTCCTGTTTGTTACGGCACGGGCGCGCCAGGTTCCACGTCACCACGGCTCCGTTAGTGGCGGCGGTGGCCAGCAGGTTCTCCTCCATCTGATGCCACATGACGTCCGCGCAGCTGAAGTTCAGCGAGGGTTTGCGTCCCACGCGCAGGTTCAGACGCTCCACGAAACCATCTTCCTCCAGACCGTATATCTTGAAAATATTCCGCCCCGCAACCACCACCTGAAACGAGATGAATCACAAGTTCACCGTATCTAATGACATTACTCAAAATAGAATTTTGAATATTAATATTTATTACTGACATTTTTTATTATGGATTGACAGATTAATAAAATGACAAATACAAATCATTAATTAATGTATTAACCAACAATAAGCAATAACGTTCATTGTTAGTTCATGTTAGCTCAAGTCCAACTTTGATTTTAATAATGTATTAGTAATTTACATTACTAATCACTCACTGCTCTTGACTGAATAACTTTTGTAGCTTTAATCTATATTTAATTTATAATTCATGTAGTGAAGACTGTAAAGTCTTCTGTATTTTTCTGTATATTTCCTACCTATGTTGCTTCTACATTAATTTGGAGATCAAATGTTATAGCATTACAATATAATAACATATTAGCTTCAATGTTAGGTGTAATTAATCACAATTAATAACAGAAAAATGTGTGATTAATTAATTATTTTTTACGGAAGCCCTGAACCGCAACGTAAATTAAAAAAACATAAAAAATAAAAATCTGTAAAAAAAAAAATAAATGTAATCTTTAATCTCGAATCTCGAAATGTCCCGAAATTACTTTAATCTCTAAATGTTTCGACTTTAATCTCGAAATTTTTCCACTTTAATCTGGAAATTTTTCAAATTTAATCTCGAAAAAATTTGACATTAATCTCAAAACATTTCGACTTTAATCTCGAAATGCTAGATTTATTTATTTATTTATTTTACATTGCGGTTCAGGGCTTCCGTAATTTTTTAATCTATTGACCGCACTAAAATAAGTTAAATAAATTCAAATATTGTTAAATTCTATAATTAAAAAAAAAATATTAGAATAATTTCATCTTGTTCCCTTTATTTCTTATTCTTAACTAGTTCATAAAAAGTGAACTGCCTGGAGTAAGTTTTACAAGAAAACACCATTTCAGTCCTTCAACTTCAAAATTTCACATTTAATTATATTTGTTGCTTTCTTTGCTAAATTTACTAGCAATATCTAACTTTTTTTGGTGTACCATTGCTTCTATTTTAAAATACAATGTAAAAACACAAAAAATATATATTTGAGCTTGTGGCGAGAATATAGCCCGATCTTTCACCTGCGTAGCATCCCGACACACACTGATGGCGTTGGCAGGAGCATCCAGGTGACAAAACATGGTACGGCCACTGATGGTGTTGACCCTGTTCATCTTCTCCATCTCAAGCTGAAAAACACGAGAGAGGAGAGACGATGAAGCTGCTGCAGATCCTTCTCTGGCCAGCAGGTGGACAGCAGATTCAGTGACTCCAACATCTCATGGTGGACGTGCATTTACCTGAGCTTATTCACTCAGCAATACATGTCAAAACATACATGAATAATGCAAGCGGTTCACACTTACGCTTTGTGTGTTGAGAAATACACTCCAACTTTCTCACTCACTCCACACTAAGACCTTTGGGAAAATGAGGCCAGAAACAGAAAACACATTCCATCAATGTATTTATCATTTCAAAACAAATATACATGAATGAGTTTATAGATTATTTCTCAATAAGTAGATCATTAGGCTTTTTTAGAAATGATTTGTGGTGGTAAAATGACAAACATGTAAGGGATTATTAATGTTATTGCAACAAGACTTTAGATGCAGGGATTTTATCTCACCATCTGTGTTCGTCACGCACAGCTCAAGACGAGAAACAAAACCACACACACATCCACACGGACGAGTTTAACATCTTCATGGGGAATTACACACTGACCTGCAGGACAGAAACAAGGCAGCAATATCACTAGCAGAGCAGCATTATTAATGAAACAATGCAATTTAAGAAATCATATTACAACTAGCAGAAAAACTTAAGTGAGATGTTGCTAGATTTTATAAAACATTTATTTCTTTTTTAGGCAATTGATATAATCGGAAGCATGCCATTTATTTTTAATAATAAATATCTAGTTCAGATTATACTATGGTTATATAATGAGTCTAACCATCTTTTTTTTCATATCATGTTGTATATCTACTTCTATCTGTAACTATCTGCAATTTTACTGCACTGCAATCAAGGTTTATATATTATTCCTGTTATCCTTATCCATTTTTTTCTGCACTGCAATGTAGGGTTTCCTGCGGTTATTTGTATATTATCAGTGAGCACACTAAAGTAGTATTTCCTGTGTATTATTGTAATGCACAGAAAGGTCAATTAAACGCTTAAAGGATTTTAACTATTCATATTCACCATTCATACTGCCCGATTGGTGCATCGAGGTTATAAAAAATGAAAATCTTTTCGCAATACTATGATATTACAGCTTTTATTTTGGTGAATGGAATATTATATGTAAAAGTAAGTTTGTCTTCTGAGCTCGTGGCAGTCAACACAAGTGTCATACTGCTACAAAAACCCCTCAGTACAGCAGACACAACTCCTGCGGCTCGACACTATCATTCAGCTTATCATGTTTCCGAATATGCATGTTCAACTGTAATATGAGTTTGGATATTGCTGAATAACCGCGCAGAACTTACCCTTTTATAAACAAGTGTGTCCGTTCACAAGAAGCGGATGTAGAATTATTGTTTACGTTTGCCGCTGACGTCACCTCCCCTTTCAAGGCGCGCGCTCTCAGTCTCAGTCACGCCGCTCCGGTTTGTCACACTGTTGCAGGAGGAGTGAAATTACTTATAAAACGCCGTTAAAAGTTATATTTATCATAACACATCCTGGTATGATAATATACTGTTATTTGGCTGTCTTGTTAGAGATCTGCAGTACATGTTATAAACTGTGCACGTCTTCTCTCTCAGTCATGCCTGTGGACGGGAGACTGTTTACCTGTGAAGATCCAGCTGTATGGAGAGGGATCTATGATCAATACTGGACTGTGATTCAAGCTAAATCAGCCTTAAAGGGCAAGGCTTCTGGAAAGCTCCTGCAACTGGACAAATGGTTTGAGTTCTTACAAACACAGACCTAAAATGTCTGTTTACGTTCATTGAATGGAATTGAAATTTAATTATATATTAATAATCATATCAATTAATTACGAATATAAATGACTCAAATATATACACAACAAATTATATAAAATACTGTAAATTCGAAATTATATAGATTTTAAAAATATTCAAAAACATTTAATTCATAATTTGTGCCTACTCATCATAATTAGCAAATTATATGCAATTTGACAACTAGTTTTGTCTATTTGATATGGAAAACATTTAAATGTTCACATGAACAACTACAAAAAATATATTTTGAGTTCCTAAAGTCTTTTTATGCATCAGAATAGAATTTAATATTTATTTCTTATAAACATTAATCATATAAACCTTATATAGATCATATTAATCATTATAATCATATCAAATAAATAAATTCTATACATTTATAAAAAATATATACATGTAAAATGAATGATGAATTATATAATATGGTTTAAATTATTTACATTTTAACATATTGTATTAATTTGATCTCGTTCATTTAATTCATAACACTTGCCTACTCATCACAATGACTATCTAACATGCAAATTGACTCCTTAAGTGCAGATTCACTAGAAAGACAACCACAAAAATAGACTTGAGTTCTCAGAAATACACACCAGCAATGTATTTTTTGTTCATTGTTGTGTTTGCATCACAATATAATACAATTGCAGGAAATCTTAGTGCCATTGTCTGTTTTCCCAGGTTTCAGGAGGAGCTTCCCGCTGCCATCTCAGCTCGATCCCATCATTCCCTCACACATGCTGAGCTCGTCAAGATCATGGAGTGGAAACTTACCGTAAGCACAATAGAAATAGATTCATGCCCTGCGTAATTAGAGAGAAACAGAAATAGGCTAGCAGCTCATTGGTTACACGCAGTGACGATCACTCTTATGACATCCGTTCACACACAGATATGACAATTATGCACAAATGCATTGCTCTCTTTGATGATAATAATGATGATGATGATGATGATGATGGCTGCTCCCTCTCAGAAAGGGAAGTTCAGGCCACGTTTGCAGCAGCTCATTGGCTCGAACAGCGAGGAGGCGGTTCAAAACTCGACCAGCAAAGCATTCGGTTTGTTGCCCGATGTCCAAGCGGCAATTACAGAGCTGTGCAAACTCAAAGGTGTCGGTCCAGCAACGGCCTCAGGTACACACACACCTATCCAGTCATGCATGCATCCAATAAGTGTAATAAAACACATTTAAACCGCAGCACACTGTCTCCATCAGCCGTGTTGGCGGCCGGCGCTCCAGGTGAAGTGGCCTTCATGGCTGATGAAGCTGTGGAGAGCGTCGCGGAGCTCAGACCGGTCGAGTACACGGCCAAACATTATGCACTTTTCCTCCAGAAAATGCTGCAGAAATCAGCCCAACTTAATAGAGGTAAGATACACACATTAAACTGAAATATTTCTTTATTAGGATCTTACTATAGTGTTTATTTCCGGTCTCAGTGGACGGCCAGCAGGACTGGACTCCTCACCGGGTGGAGCAGTGTTTATGGGCATGGGCAGTGGCCAATCAGATTCAGCCCTCATTAGTACAAGAGTTCAATCTGATGGATGCAACACACACAGTGACCAATCAGAAGCCAGAGAAGAGGAAGATTGCTGATGAAAAGCCACCGAAGAGACAGAAGAGGGCACGAACGTAGTCAGAATTGTGTGTCTAGTATTTAGGACACAATCAATCACAATATATTCCATTCGCAAAAGTATCTGTGTTTTTGAGGCAAACATAATTTGTAATTGTTTATGTATAGATGTTTTAATAAAGCAATATTATAAATAATATTTTCTTTGCATATGTGTGTGGGTAATTAAAAATATATATTTTCTTTAATTTATGAGAAACTAACAGGGTTTCAAAAATTGCAAACCACACATAGAATAAATCCATGTATAAAATATTATTACTCTGAGGTGACTAAACCATTTCTGATGGTTATGCATTGCACGCACCTCCTTTTTCAACAGACGATTTGCTGAAATGGTCATTTATATTTATATGTATGTCATTTATTAGAAAAGGTAATATATATTATATAAATTTATATTTATTTTAGGGCTGTGCAAAAATTAATTGCGATTAATCGCATCCAAAATAAAAGTCTGTGTTTACATAATATATTTGTGTGTGCTGTATATTATTTTGTATATATAAATAAACACACATGCATGTATAAATTTAAGAAAATGTGTTATTCATATATAAAATATTTATATTTATATAATATAGATTTTGTATTTATAAATATATACAGAATTTAAGCGCAAATAATCCTTAAATATATACATGCATACATGTGTATTTATATATACAAAATAATTATACACAGCACACAAATATATTATGTAAACACAGACTTTTATTTTGGATGCGATTAATCGCAATTAATTTTTGCAAAGCCCTAATTTATTTATTTTTCAAGTATAAAAATACCTCCTCACTGTGGACACACACACACACAGACTTCTCTCACAGTATGTTCTTTATTTCATACAGCTGAGAAATGAAAGCAAACACAAAACCATACAAAATAAAACTACAAAAAACTAATTGCCTCAGGTCCCAATATTTCAGAAGTACAATACATCATGAAATGATAAAAGAATTTAAAAGAAACTATCAGTATTTACATCTGGTTTTTTTAATCTTCATCTGATCCAGAGAAAACTATTAGCCTTATATTATATTAGTTTTAACTTCTTTTTTCATGTAAACAGAATATTTTACTGCAAGAGTCGTCATCTCTTGTATTTTGGCACCATTTTGAAGTCTGTACATGGACTACGATTCTCAGAAGGACTAGAGTTGTGGCAGCAACACAGACCCAGCGATGATCTCAAAGCAAAACTACACCTACAACATCATGGAGGAAATCAACTCAGGACACCGTGATCTACGAGAGCAGCTATTGGCTGGGAATAATGGGAGGCCCTTGGTAAACAGGTTTGTTCCCAGTTTCGAGAGGATTGATTGAGGACACTTCTTCACCGAGAGCATGTTCAGAGTGGCACACTACCCATACTATTGTTGCGTTCTATCATAGCCAACGAACAGACTCAGACCTCGGATTTGACGTCACGTCCACACTTCAAGCGTTCTGTTTTGCGTGTCCGAGTCGGAGAAAAAAATGGACGCCACCTGGAAAGCTGTTATAATGGTGGCACTGGCCGAGTACCAGGCACTTACATTAAAAAAAAATTAACGCAGCCATTTAACTTGAAAATATTCACTTTATTTTATGTTTTTCATGTTAATCTTCTGTTTAGCAACGCTAGCAACGTTAGTAATTGCACTCACAACAACCGATTCCCATACCTACAGGGGACGCAGTAATACGAGTGATTATAATCGTCATTTAAAATACCAACGCGGTTCAAAAACAATGGAAAGAATTAATTCTTACAAGTCACAGGGCGCAGCCATCTTGAATACCGAAACGGAATTCTTGCTCGGTGTCCTCACGGTTGTCCGACGTTCGAGAGGTGAAATCCGAGGAAAGGGGGCGTGTTGCTAGGCAACGTCTGTCGTCCGTTTCGGATCTCTGAGACGGATGAATAATAGAACGCACCATATATGCAGGGATGCAAACGTTCAGTGTGAATGGCATACGTGGACGACTTATATTTGCAGTATACAACACTATAAATGTAAAACTGCATCCCATGATGCAATGTGCTTGACTTTACATTCTGAAATGGTTAACTAAAGCTATTAAAAACATTTTTGGAAAGCTGAAATAAGTGAAAGTCACTTTGAAAAATGTCCTGGCCATATATATTTTTTACCAGCCATGAAACATAATTATTCCTTATTAAAGTTAAAAAAAATGTTATTTAGAGCATTGAATGATTATTCTTTGTCGGAAATATTAGGCTGCTGTCACTTTAAGAGCGGATGCACGGATCCAGTACACTCATACTGATACACATGCTTTACTTTCTCAGCTGTTTAAGTTCACTTAAGACATAACCGACTGTATACAAGGACACTTGCCGGGTATTTTGACATAATTTGTGTGGATGTGTCCGTTCAAGTTCAAGAGAGCTCAATTCAGTATTCATGGCGTTCTGAGAAATGAATTAAGTTCCCTTTCACGTCTTCTTGTGCTTGAATATCTAAACTGACAAGGCTTTGACGATGCAGTGCTGTCCCGAGCGTGGTTCACGTTCATGTTCTCACAATATTGTGTTGTTAGGATTCATAAAAACGCGGTAATTCTTACTCGTGCTTGGCGAGTGTAGCGTTTAGGCCCTGTATGAAAAAAATAGTCGGCAGGATACTGTATAAACAGCAAAGTATGCATTCAGTATGCTAGTATTCCACTCTGAACACAACCCAGCTGTTTAGACCATGGTCAGTGTTTCCCACACTCACAAAAGACACACACAGACTACAGAATGTGTGCCTGTAACAGTCTGAAAACCAACAATGGCCATACAGCATATTAAAGCATGTTTAACACACACACACACACACACACTTCCAGCATCCATTTGATGAGTGTTCAAAAAGTAATACATCCATCATTTGCTGTTTTCCCTCCATTTTCCATCATTTTATCAGCTATTTGTCCCTTCTTTCTCACATCCCAATACATCTCTTAGCTTTCACATTACATTCTCTCTCTCTTTCTCACAGTTTATATGCACATCTAATAAATATTCATCAGCATTTTTCACTTGTCTAAAAGTGCCAGCCAGGTGGATATTACAGGAACTCTATACATTTGACTATGGAGCGACTCTTGCATGCTGGATCAGAACATTTCAAGTCAACTTGAAACCAAACTTGACATTATTTCATTTATTAATGCTTTTCTGCTGTATTATCTTTATCCTTTTCCCCATGCTGACTTTAAATATTCAACTGACTCACTTGTTCCCTCAAAAGTCTTCATGTATTACGTTACATAACCGCGACCTTTGAGCGAAGCAAGGCCAGGGAGAATGTATTAATTAAACTTTTTTTTTTGTATTGTTCATATTTTCTTTGCTTTGCATCTTCCAGCACTTTCTGTTTCTGTGGTTCACTATGTATCATCAGTCTAAGACCATCTTTACACCCGCCACGACTCAACGACGACAGCCACTCGGAATAAATATAAATATAGGACTATGGCATAAAAATCCACGACATTAAATAGACACACGGTCGAGCTTTTCGAAAATGAAAAGAAATCAATTGAGAACACAGCAATCTTTCCTATAGCTATTTAAACAATTCCCCTTAAGTATCTTTTAGCAGCTTAGCGAATGATAACTTGGCACTACTGAATTTTGAGTTAAGTGTGATGTGTTTATCTTCTCTCATCTTTTGCAGTCTTGTCATGAAAACGTAAGGATTGTGGTGGGTTGTCCGTTTTAAAACTTAAACATCCCATCATTATTCTTTCACTGAAAATGTAAGCAGAATTTCCCCATGACGTTCGGTACTGGTGGTCGCGACATCCGTTTCTATGTTGAAAGCATCTTTAATCCTGTTATGGCAGTTTCCATAACAACTGCAATCTGCACAGCAATAACCGAAGTATTCATTACTGTGTGGCACAGACATGCTGTCTTCTAAACTTCGAGCTCACTCACTGGCTTTTGTTTATGTGATCACTGGAAATATGTTCAAGAATCAAAATAAAAGGACAGGTACTCTGTTCCAAACCCTAGTGAGCTCCCATGCTGTTCATAGGCAGCTGCTAAGCTAATAAAACAATACTCTAATAAGAAAACTACTATTAAGCAGTAGTAGTTCATTTTTAAGTGTGAGGACAGCAATAAGAGATTTAGACTTCTTCATCACGGATGCAATGAAATCGATCAAAAAGGACAATAAATACATTTCTAAATATTTCTATTTCAAATAAATATATAAATACATTTTATTTTAATTTTTTTATTAGGTTCAAGTCCTACCTAATTTGTCAAAATGTTTGCGATTGTTTTAAAAATTGATTTTCTGTTTTTTTATTTTTTTATATTCTTGTGCATCCCAGTATGTTTGTTACTTGTTGTCTGTGTAAGTTATCCTCTTGGCCAGGGCTCACTTGTAAAAGAGATTGTAATAATCTCAATGTGATTTTATTCCCTGGTAAAATAAAGGTAAAAAAAATAAATAAATAAATAAAAATAAAAATGCTGCTCTTTTGAACTTTTTATTCATCAAGCAATCCTTCAAAAAATATCCCCACATCATCACACACCTTCCACCACACCTAGAGATTGGCATGGGGTACTTTCCATAAGATCATCTTTCAATGCAAATCAAACCAGCTATTAGGCTAACTGAAGTAAAACCATGCCAATCTCTAGGTGTGGTGGAAGGTGTGTGATGATGTGGGGATATTTTAAGGGAACTTTATCAGGATGCATATTATCCTGGATCCATGAAATAACTGGCTTTTAAAAATAAAAATCTGCCTGACTCTATGGGAATTTAACATAGGGGTGTCCTGACTTATGCACCCTGTATTTTAAGGAAAAACATTTATTTATTGATGATACATTATTCATTCACAAAGAAAATGTGTGTCCTTAAAGGTTGGAGTTTTCCTCATTTTTCTAATTAAGGCATTAAGATACATATCCAAAAGATGATTTTTTATTCCTCTTTTTAGGCAACTTTAGCATGGGGTTCAAAACTTATTCACATCACTGTATGTTGCTTGTGTAAAAAAAATCTAACCTAATTATTTTTTTAATTAATTGAGCCAAAACCAAAAAGCGTTAGGTTGTGCCCCGCTCTCCCCTACATTTCTAAATATTTCTATTTCAAATAAATATATAAATAAATTTTATCTTAATTTTATTTTATTTTATTTCACATACTGAGTTCAAGTCCTACCAGGGTCAAATTTGTCAAAATGTTTGCGATTGTTTTAAAAATTGATTTTCTGTTTTTATTTTTTTATATTCTTGTGAATCCCAGTATGTTTGTTACTTGTTGTCTGTGTAAGTTATCCTCTTGGCCAGGGCTCACTTGTAAAAGAGATTGTAATAATCTCAATGTGATTTTATTCCCTGGTAAAATAAAGGTTAAATAAAAAAAATAAAAATAAAAATGCTGCTCTTTTGAACTTTTTATTCATCGAGCAATCCTTAAAAACCGCATCATGGTTCCTGGCAAAATATAAAGCAGCACAACTGTATTCAACACTGATCATAGTAATGATGCTTAAATTCATCTTTGATCACAGGAATAAATTACATTTTGAAAATAGAATTAAATCATAGAAAATCTGTATTTTAAATTGTAATGTTATTTCTGTTTTTTTGATTAAATAAATGCAGCACTGGTGAGCAGAAGAGAGAAAATATTATGGTAGTGTGTGTATATATATATTAAAAACACATTTTGGAGCTTGTTGCAATTGAGGATGGTCTTTTGACCGAAAGCTTTAATTGTGCGAACAGTTTATTTTTTGGGAGCTTGTTGCAATAAGTTCTGACATAGAATGCCAAGTTCACATTTGTTAAGAAGAGGTAATCTTAGACGGCGCACATGCTCCCTACATCGACAGCTCACTAAGATTTGGAACAGAGATAATCTTTCTGTCCTCTTGTAGCGTCTGCAAGTGTGTGTAAAGCTGAAGAGAAACATCTCTTTTTACCCTTTGAAACCAGTTTTAGCTTGTTGCAAAAGAATACTATCCGTAATTATCCAACAACAGACATCAACATCAACCCCTACCTCAGTGAGGACTTTACGGTGTCTTCAAGCGCAAGGCTTTGTTTTTAGTCAGCGAGATTCCTGGATTGAATTCGCCGTTTCATCTACTACGGATGTTATCTGTAACGCATAACAGGCTTAGATGAGGCTGTCAAATCAAAACAATACAGAAAGGCGTCATGAACGAGCCTCGGGCTGAAACTCGCACTCAGAGAGCAAAACAAATCTAGTGTACGTGTGTGTGTGCATATGTGTGTGTTTGTTCAAATAAGCTCACCGGACCCTTGAGCTGCCTTGGAGTGTTCATTAAAATACCACGCGGTTTATGTTGGCTGCTTCTGTATGGAATGCGAGTATGCGTTTTTCATTTCACACCTTCCATGTTGTTACACCCTTTTTCTCCGCTGCTGGTCGAGTGGAGTCGATCGAGGTCGGGCCTGTGTCGGGCAGGGGGCGTGGCTTTCTGCAGCCACCAGGGGGTGTGTCATCAGGGAGGGGGCGGGATCTGAACCCCGAGCAGCTCGTAAGCGAAAATGTTCCAGAAGATGGCGAAGAGGAGGAAGGTGATGAAGGAGAAGATGAGCACCCACCAGGAGCACTGTTTATGCAGAGATTCCTCATAGCTCCGCAAGATCAGCAGCCCCATGCTGATGCCCACCACTGCGCCCGACAGATGAGCCATGAAGCTGGGCTGCGGACCGGATGAGGGCAGCGGCGGGGAGAAACGCAACCACACGGCACGGCCCACCTCAGAACTCACTGTTAAAGACACCGAGAGAGAGATTGGCAGATGTTTGAGCATATTACTTCTAAGAAGTCTCTTATGCTCACTAAGGACTCAAAAATATTGTGAAATATGATTACAATTTAAAATGACTTTTTTCTATTTGAATATATTTTAAAATGTAATTTATTCCTGTGATCAAAGCTGAATTTTCAGCATCATTACTCCTATAGTGTCACGTGATCGTTCAGAAATCAGTCTAATATGCTGCTCAATAATTCATTATTAAAAATATACAAAATTAGGTCATGGTGAAATGTAGCATAGTACAATTCGAAATGATTATCTTTGCATTGCATTCTTTTTTTTTCTTTTTTTTTAATAATATGCAGTATTGTTGCTTGTTTCTGCCACAGAATGAAAAATAAAAAAGGTAATTGCGACTTTTTATCTCGCAATTCTGACTTCATTTATTTTTTAGAGAACTAAAATGACTTACTGCAAACAAGTGCAAGAATCATTCTCAGCAACTTGTATGGACACTTCATACCGGCCCAGTTCTGAAACACAAACACATACGTGTTAAAAACCTTAAAATAGTGATATACTGTATGCCACTTCTTTTTTTTTAAAGCAAAAATGTGAAGCTATTGTAACTTGCCATCACTGAAAATATAAATTGATTATAATTTTTTTTTTATTGTAAAACTAAAAATGAAATAAATTGCATTTAAGTTGAAGTTCTAAAACTGAAATGAAATAAAGCTAAATAGAATTTCTTTTTTTAAATGGCAAAAACACACAATTAAACTACTGTAACCTAAACTAAAATTAAAACAAAAAAATATATATAAAATTCAAATGCTATAAAAGTATAAAAATAATACTAAAATAATACTGATTGCCACTTGCAACCCATTTTTACTTTCATAATATGATATTTTCTATTAAAACAGAATGTTCAATGATAAAACTGTAGGTCAAAATGACTAAATATCTTCACTTACATATTTCTGGTCTTATTGAAAACAATTCATCAGTGCATTTGTGCTTTTATGAAGTCTCATGCACAAAAATGTGTTATACGAGTTGTAAAGCTTCTAAATTGTCCTTGTATCACACACAAATGAAAAGGCACTTATATTCCCGTAAGAGGAAGTTCAGAGCCATCCATCAGCACACACAGACGCTGAAGAGACTTTAGGACTCTCGGAGGCCTGTTTGTAGCCGTCTATGTGCGAGTGATTACAGACTCTTTGATCTTTAGGGAAGCCGCAATATAGAGATTTATCCCTCTGCGTTTCTCTATTCCTCCTCCTTTTCATTCATTCTGACACAAGTCGCCATGGCAGCAGTTAGTTTGGGTTACCATGACAACGTTGGCGAGATGTGCTGAGCAGAGAGCATAGACCCCGCCGGACCCGCCGACCACTGGAGCTCGCATATCTGTGATGGACACCGTCAGTGAACCTGAGGAAACACACACCGTCACTGGTTTAGTCTTCACTAATGATAAACACTGGGATCATGCGCTTCTTGCAAATCCCCACACCAAGACGACTTATGATTGTGATTCTGTGTAAATTTACCTTTGTGTGCGACATTACAAAGTCTGTTTATTGCTTCCATGTGGCTTTTATCAAGTAAAATTTCTCCTGATAGGCAGATTTAATCTTAATATAATTGGCTCATAATGACATGAGGGGGTCCCTCCTGCACACTCGTGACGCACACCTATTTTACTGGATTATTTGTAGTTTAATAACGAGTGTCTCACTGTCTTGAAAGAAATTCGATAAAAACTAAATTAGAAGTTAATAAGGATTGTACTTATTTTAAAAAACTGTTAAATTTAATATTTTTTTGATACTGTAAAATGTAAAACAATAATTTAATAATTTATTTAATTTAATAAATGTATATATATCTATAATGTATATTTCTTTTTTGTAATAAAATATTTGTAAAATTATATATATATATATATATATTTATTTATTTATTATATATGTTTACTTTTTTTGTAATAAAATATTTTAAAATATTTTAATAAAATAAAATGTCATAAAATAATAATTTAATCAAATAAAATAATTACATTTATTATACAGTATAAAATACATTTTAAAATATATAAAAAGCCCTACTGACTTGTATTTCTGTATTCCCGGCATCACTGTTGTTGACCCATTTAATGAATGTAATTAAGGTAATTAATAGTTGTCATGTAATTATAGGATTCAGAGCTGCTCTGTGCTGCGGACTAAACACTAAAGCACTATAGGAACTACATTTTCCATGATGCTAGGGTGTTCGGAGTTGCTTTTAGTACATTGCGATGTGGTTGCTAAGGTGTTGTGGGTGGTTGCTAGGGTGTTCTAGGTGGTTTCTTACTAGCCCAAGTGGAAAGAGTCCACCTAATTTAATACAAAACCTTCAAACCCACAGCGGCATAAAACACACCCAATAATTCTGCACTGTAAACTAAAACCTCATTGGAAAGCGAACATGCATGCAAAACGGGTGCGATAATTGAATATTGACATTTCCTGTGTGTGTGTGTGTGTTTGTGTCTGCTGCACTCAGCACTCTAACTCGACCACCATCTTCATCACCCTTCTCTTTTTTAAGTTTCGTTTTCTTGAAACTCTTTCTTCTCTCTCATATTCTCACACTTTCCTTGTCTTTTCATCTCTTTCTCACAGTCCTCTCCTCAGTTTCTCTTATCCGTCCTTGCATACTCTATTTTCTCCTTCCTTTCATTTCCATCTCACTTTCTGTGTCCTCAACATGGACACTTCCTCGTACAGTGTGTCAAAACATCACGTGTGTGTTGTAGGTAGTGATGATTTGGCATTTGTAACGATTTAGTAAATACGATATAACACGAGTGTGTATTTAATTTCGTCATATTAGTGTTGATCTCATTTGCTCTACACATCACGGCTATTTGAGTCCGTTCCTGGCCTGGAGGGTCACGTGACTCACACGTCCTGCAGGGTTTTGCTCTGACTCTAATTAAACAGACCTGGACCAGCTAATCAAGGTCTTCAGGATTACTTAATTACACACAACTGTTTGATTAGGCTCTGAATTCAGCAGAACGCGGTTCTCCACGAACCAAATTAACCCTAAAACCGTAGTTTTGATTTATTTTTAAAAAATACTTCCCTTGATCTGAGCGGTACAATATATGGCTACTTTTCCTAAGTTTGCCTCCTGAACGCAAGTTTTTTGGACTCAATTCTACAAAGTTAAGTGGGTGAAAAAAAACTCCTTAATCTTGTATTTGGGTCAAAAATGGGCACCCATAGAAATGAATGGGAAAAACTGTAATTTAGAGCATTCTAAAATAAGCCAAAATAAGACACCAGGAGACGGCAAAGTCAATTCATCTTTAGCGTTTAGCTCTAAGAACTTATTGGAATGATATTTTAATGTAGTTAAAAAAATGTAAAAAATAAAACATAAAAATAAGCATCATTTACATAGAAAATATGGTACTTTTTGAAGTAAATAAATTCAAAAATACCCCCAAAATAAAATAAAACACCATAAATGGATAGACAAAACTTTATCGAAGACAGTGATATAACATTTATAATAAATAAAAATTAGGATCACACCTGAGTCCTCTTTGCCCACATTTGTCCACAATTACAGGATTAAGGGCTATAAATTGAATACGGTTTGAGGGTTAAACAGCACTGAATATGACCTGTATATCTCCTATATCACACACACACACGAACACAGACTCATATACATATATATTATTTTTTAAATTATATAAATAGAAAAAAAAAGAAAATGAATTACAATAAATTGAAATTTATTTCATAATAAATAATTTCATTACAAATAAATTTTTATTGAATCAGAATTGTATTAAATTAAATCACTAAATTTAAATAAAACGTACTAATCATTAATTTATAGAATTTACAAGGTCAATATGTATATATATATATATATATATATATATAAATTTAATCATTAAGTATGATTAGCCTTATACACACACACACACAAAATAAAACTAAATATAAAACTATATATATAGCTTTATTTTAATTAATTAAAAAAAAGTTAATAAAAATACATTTTATTAGGATTTTATTTAGTGTGTGTGTGTGTGTGTGTGTGTGTATAAGCCTAATCAAACTCAATTGCCCTGAAGACCTTAATTAACTGGTTTGGGTGGGTTTAATTATTGTTGGATTGAAATTCTGTAGGATGTGGCCCTACAAAAATTGTGTGTGTGTGTGTGGGTGAGAGAGAGAGAGAGAGAGAGAGAGAATAATTCACAGATTATTGATTAGGTCATTGCCCACTGGTGACATGCCCATCATAAATATGAGCACATTCTCCTGGTGATCTTGTCACGGTGCAAGGACAGCAAGACTCATGCAGACACACACACACACTCACCAGCGACGACTCCTGCCATATACAGCAGACTGATCCTCAGGATCCCATGAACCATCTCCAGAGGAACTCCAATCATCAGCTGGAGAAGAGCGTTGAAGCCCAGCTGCTCTAACCTGCACAAAACACATCCAGAACGAGAAACATCAGCTGTGAATACACACCGAGGAACAGCCTCAGAACAAAGTCAACTTTTGTGTGTCATCTTTAAAGAGCTTAACCTGTCTCAAAAAACATGGAGTTCCTGTGGAAACTCTGACAGAATGAATCCTGCTGAGTAAGAGATGAAGCACTTCACATCTATAACAACAAAGTGTCATTTCTTTCTTCATTAAAAAGAGATTTGTGATGAAATCTCTTTGCTTTACAAGCTCAGGATAATTCTAGGATAGATAAACATATTCAAGCTCTACAATATGTTTCTGCTAGCTGCTTGTGGTGCATGAATGTGAAATAGGGTTCACACTCACAGCCCATTTTACTTTTGTATTTGTCAGGAAAAAAAAAAGATATTCTTAGCAAGAAATGTGGGCGGGAGCCGCGGGACCAAATTTAATCCATTAGGAATTCATTGCATGGTAAAAAAAAGACATGATTGGAGGAGATTGGGTTTAAAAAATGGTTTTCGTGACATCAGTTGATAAGGAAAGTCATTTCAGAGGTGGGACATTGTGATAAAAGATGACAAAGACAAACTGTTTTCTTTTTAAAAAAAGTGAACAATAAGACCAGAAACATGAACGAAGAAGGTAATTCACATTTGAGTTCATGTTGAAATTTAAAGCTTGTAAAACTGACTCTAAACATGGATGATGGGAGGATCTTGTTCATCAGGGGCCGGTTTCACAAAGCTATTTTAGACTATAGTGTTAGACAAGTCCAAAATTAGCTCATAGACTAGTCTAATGCAAGTTAGACTGTTTCACAAAAATAAAGACTGACTTAATTTAGACCAAATAATTAGACACCGTTCCCCCAGACGAACTTAGGTCTAATACTCTGTTACCATGGCAACCAAACAGCCGAAAGCACGTCGAGACAATCCGAACAGCCGCAGCTTTGGGCAACGGTTTGATTTAGATGTCTCTCTGAAGACTGACTGTCTACTACAGTACATCTAAGCCATAGTCAAAGTCTATCTTTGTGAAACCGGCCCCTGGTCATCCCTCTACTTACCCAACATGCATGAACATGTAGCTGAAGAACCTCCAGATTTGCGCGCGGTGCCCGGGATGATACACCAGCGGACTCTTCATGAAGTCCGGCTGGTACGTTTGCAACACCCATTTATTGAGCATCACACCGTAACACATAAACACTATGATCTGGAACACACAAACACAGACACGTTCAACAGTCTTGACCCGGTGGATAGTGACATTTATTGATCATTTAGGCAAAATACTCAAATAAATCTTTAAAATGTGTGCATGTGCATATTTGATACAGTACATCAGGGCTTTTATGGCTCATAAAGTATGTTACAGTTTTATTTAGAGGCACAAACTGAGCAAAAAATATGAAATTTAGTGTAGTTGTTATTTGTATATGCAAAAACTATGATGAAATTCTGATTGCTTGTAATGTAAGCAATGACTGAATCAGACTACTTGTATAAATGCATATGAGATTATATTTACATGCTTAGTTTTATGATCAAAGATCTGTAGGGGAGGGTTAAAACATATAATAGAATGCAATACAATTATGATTGAGAGATGCCTGATAGATCATATTTAGTCATTTATTATGAAAAAAATATGTATGGATAATCAAGTAAACATAAGTTGCTCCAGGCCAGTAAGTGTTCATCTATTATGTATTATATGAAATATTTCACAGTAAAAAAAGACAGAAAGAAACACCAAAATATTTTTGTAAACAATTAACAATTTTTAAAATGATGCCTTTGGTTTGCTTAAATAACTATGAACTATCAATCAGATGACAGAAGGCATGATTGTCAGGCTTTTCAGAAAGGTCTTGATCTAGGGCTGTCAAATGATGAATCGTGATTAATCGCATCCAAAATAAAAGTTTTTGTTTACATAATATATGTGGGTGCACTGTGTATAATTATTTTATATATATAAATAAATACACACACATGCTTGTATATATTTACGAAATATTTTCATGTATATAGATTTATATATAATTTATATTATATATATAA